CCACTCGTGTGTTTTTACACGAACAGATAAATTTTTTTTTTTTTTTTTTTATATAATTTTTTTTATAGAATTATAAGATGCTCGTGCAAAAACATGCGAGCATTTCAACAGTGCTCGTGTGAAATCAGATGAGCACTGTTGAAATGCTCGTGTGTTTTTGCATGAGCACAAATTTTTTTTTTTTTTTTTTTTTTTTTAATTAGGTAGGAATAGTACAAAAGGTAAATAGTTATGGTAAAAAGGTAAAAAACCATGGTAAAAAAGTGCCTGAATGTTTAATTTGGCCTGCGTATATCACCACCCATGATAATATTATCCAATTGTTACTGTAATATATGTTAAAAAAAATTAACTATTATAATTTTAAGGTCAATTTCCTACTAAATTACTATATATTATGAAAAAGTATATTCAAATTTTCAAATATCTTAATATTGAAATTAATGTATAAACATAAATTTCTTATCAACAATATTATTTTGTTTTTATAAGATAAATATTGGTTGGTTGAGTATGAAGTCAAATAAGTTTTTCTTGGGTTTCATGTTCAATTTTATCGATATTATTAAATCTATAATTAAATATTAATAAGAAAACAAATATAAATTCATTCGTTCATAATTATAACGTTATCTAAGATCAATAAATAAATATTTTTTATATTATTAAGAAATATATTTTATTTTATTTTAGATTTTTAAACATTAAATATACATTAATAAAAAAAAAACGACTATAATATTATTTTTTACCAAAGTTTATCGAAATATATATATATATATATATATATTGGAATGAGCTCATCTAATTTTCCAGGAGTTTATTAAATCTATAAAGTCGGGTTTTCGGTAAATATTGCGGTCTTGGCCGGTATTATAGTTATATATTCAATTATTAACCTTGTAATCAACATGCGCAAAACGAGTTACGTGACTATGTGACGGCAAAATTGAAGCCGTTGTTGTCCATCGAGCCCGACCGAGCTAATGTTCTGATGTCTGAATCTGACGCCGGCGTTGTCCATCGAGCCGGACCGAGCTAATGTTCTAATGTCTAAATCTGACGTGGAAGGTGAAAGTCAAATTGAGGACAAGACAGAAGAGAAAGGCCTGCGGCGGCGATACAGTTTGCCACTAGTCATATTTACTATCACTTAGGCACGAATAAATGAATAAACAACCTGCTTTAAATTCTTGAATTATTAGATGATTACAAATGAATGAACGTACTCCTATTTATACAACTCCACCTCTTTTTAATATATGGTGGTAATCATCTCAATCTAATGGTTATGATCAATTCCTACGATATTCTACTAAATATATACAAAGAAAAATCATCTAAGAATCTTTACATTAATACGAGAATTCTAGAAAATCTTATAAAATCCTCTAATAATCTCTACTATTTGGCCCAACTGGGGCCCTTTGTCCTGGGCTCGTTTGATTGTCAACTGTAGCCCTTGATTTCAAGGTAAAATAGGTAGTCTGTGATGTTGAGTAGGTCTTCAGCGATCCGGTTTGCATGCAGTGCATATACAACTTATGGACTTTGGAATTATACTGTTGAATTGCACGCATGTCATGTATTCTTCCAAATCTAATCCATCTGTATAAGTTAATTAACACGTTGAATAATTTTAATTACCACGTAGATCAATTAATCAAAATTTTAAGGTTTTATTTGACGTTTGATTAGTATAATATTTCTTTGGTCGACACGTAATTATGGAAAAATCACGAGCTTTATTCCTACTTATTCATAGAGATTTTGTAATTAATGTTCCCTAATCCCATTCATACAATTTTGTTCTCATACATGGCATACAATTATCTTGACAACTAAATGTAGTTTTGTAACAATTTGGACTATGGGATGTTTAACACACAATTTTTCAATAAAATATAAATAAGAATCCATTTTTTATATCAAACAAATAAAATTTAATTAATTATAACTTATTTCACCAACCACCAAAACGAAACCTTAAAATAATTTGAATTGACTATACTCCCGAATAAAATAACGGTATTTTTTTTCTTTTTATGGAAAATAATTATTACGAATATTCTATATATAATAATAGTAATAAACTCAACAACCCTAGTCCACTATAAGCATTGACTCTGCTCCGCCACCACGGGCTGAGTCAAAAACTTAAAACTATGGCAAAAAATCTAAAATGGGAGGCCGAAGTATCCACAACACTGCAAAAAGCTACGGCTGATCAAATATGGCCTCTTTTCCAGGATTTTTTCGGGCTTCACAAATGGTTCCCGGGCCTCGCCACGTGTTACGGCATCCACGGCTCCAACGGCGAGCCCGGCTGCATGCGCTACTGTTCGGGTTCCGGCGGGCTCAAACGAGAAGGAAATATTAATACTAATACTAATAATAATGACGATGGGGATTCGAATTTGAGCTGGTCGAAGGAAAGACTGGTGGCAATCAGTGGGGCCAAAATGACATTTACCTATGAGATTGTGGATTGTAACATTGGGTTCGAATCCTATGTTTCGACTGTAACGGTCGTTCCCGGCGGCGGCGGCGGAGGAGGATGCACTGTGCGGTGGCGTATCAGCCTGGATCCGGTGGTGGGGTGGAATTTGGAAGATTTGGTGGGTAGGTATGAACTTGGGCTGCAGCGTATGCTGAAGAAGATGGAGGCTTCCATTTTTGGATTTTGAAATAGGTATTTTTTTTTTCTTTTTTTAATAAAACCTAGCTACTTTATATTTGATTTTTAACTATAAAACATATTTTATATTATATTTATAAGGATTAATATTGGAGACACACATCAATCAAACTTAATTTAATTTATTTTTAATCTGAAATACCCTTATAATAACTGATAAGAAATCATGATCTTCTGATCTTCTCTCGTCGCCCATTCCTCTCACTCTCTCAATTTTCAGCCGCCTCAAGCATTCTCTCGCTTTCTCTCTCTTTGGCTCTATATTTTCTTCCGCCCAGCCCAACCCACCCCCCTCTCTCTCTCTCTCTCTCTCTCTCTCTCTCTCTCTATATATATATATATATATATATATATATATATATATATATATATATATATATATATATATATATATATATATACACAACAGATCCGCATTTTGTGGCGGAGATGAATCTGATCAGAACTGGCTGTAGAGGAGTCCGACGGCTAATCACGAACTGGTGATAGAGAGAGGCGGTGGCTATGGCGATGCGTACCTATTGTCATTCCTAAGTGATGGTGGTGGTTGTGTTTATAAAGGGGATGGTTATGGCAGTAGTGAGCGGCGATTATGGAGATGACCGACCATTTGGAGATGGTGGTGTGGATTTAGATCGACGCTGGGGACGAATTCATCAAACTAGGGCTCTTTGACGGCTATAGATTTTAGTAGGTGGCTAGGATTTGGTGGATATGGGTTGGCGACGGCTGAGAATGTTGGCAGTTAGGGTTGGGCCGCGACTGCGTTGACCGATTGGGTTGGCGATGGCTGGGAGTTGTTGACGGTTATGGTTTGGAATAGTACACTAAGTACCAAGTATAATGTAGTATACTATAGTAAACCGTAGTATATCATAGTCTACTGCAATCTATATGTCATAATCTACTACAGTCTATTGTACTTTTATATAAACAAATAAAAGATGTTAACTATAGATGACTACATTTGTTGATAAAAGATAAAAAAACAAATTAAAAAAAATGAAAAATATGTAAATTGTATTCTGTAGAAAAAAAGGAAAAAAATACAAGTTTTTTTTTAAAATGAAGAAAGGAAAAAGGAGAAAAAAGAAAAATGTGTATTTTGCATTCATTTTTTTTAATGTTAGATGGAAAAATAAAAAATATTAAATACAGAATTAAAACTGATAAATGCAGTTTGAATGTTTCGTAATGCAAGTTTTGAATTTGTGAATGAAAGAGTAGTTTTCGAATAAATTTTATAAAGGATGTGAAACAAATATTTAGTTGAACTTGTTATTTAATTCTAATAAATTTTGTGACAAGGTACCTATATCTTAACGCCCCTATTTATAACGTGTATATCATTGAAATTATCAAAGCTTGAAATAAGCTGGTCATGCTCCGTACTTACCCCACCAAATTAAATTTCTCTTGGGCAGGTTAAAGCACCAGTTAGTCAGTTGACTTTGACTTCAACTGTTAAGCACTTAAGCTGATAAGCACTTGTTGGGCATAAGCACTTCTGTTTAAGACTCCTTTTTTTGAGTCCATGTTATAATGGGCCGAAGTTTGGACAATTTACTGATTTGACCCTTATTAGCCCAAGTATTCTATATTTAATAATAATAATAATAATAATAATAATAATAATAATAATAATAATAATAATAATAATAATAATAATAATAATATTTGTTATAATTTTTTTTAACCGATATAATCAAGCTTTTCGCAATTAATAAATTAATACTTAGTTGCTAAATTTCCTTATAGTTTATGATCATTGTATTTATACTTTTTAATTATTCATTTATTTATAATTATTATAATATTAATAAGCATATTTTTTTTTTAATATTTCACTATTGAAGAGGAGGGGGGTGATGTGGGGGCAGAGAATAAATGCCACCTTAAATAAATGGTTAAAACTTAAAGAATCAATCCAACCCATTAATTACTTATAACGATGCTCACTCCTGGACCACTGCTGTCAATTGCCATTTAATTCCTTTTTAATTACTCTGCACTCACTCAAATCTTTATTTGCACGGGTCTTTTTTTTTTTTTTTGGCTAATAATTAATATATTTCATTTTATCAATCATCTCTAGTAATTCCAAATAATTAATCAATTTTTTTTTTATTTCTACAACTAGCAATAATTGATCCCAAATGTATTTCTTTTTGAATAAATAATGTACAACATGAGGCAATTTCAACGTATAGGACAAAAAAAAGAAAATCAGTAAATAAAAAATGAAGCAGTACCAATATAATGCATGTAAAAAATACTCCAAGTGTGAGAATAATATTGCTAGAGCATCCAATACGAGCTGGTCAACTTATTCATTAATAATTTTAATTTAATTACTTAATATATGTAGCCTCTTTCTTCATGCTATATATAACACTTCACACCATTAACTAATCTCTAGTGGTTTATTTTTCTTTACAAAAAAAAAAATAAAAAAAATCTCCGACTAATTAATGGCAGCAGAAGAAGATGTTATTGAGCTTAAATGGGAAGGAAAAGTGATTGCTAAACTGAACAAGGCCACACCACAAGAGGTGTGGCTTCTCCTAGAGGATTTCTGCAGTTTCCACAAGTGGCTTCCAACAATCGACACATGCTACAAAGTCGTCGACGACGACGACGAGGGCCTCGTCCGCTACTGCGCCGCCACTACTCCGGCGCCGTCCGGCGGCGGCGGCGGGGGGGTTGTGAAGTGGTGCCATGAAAAGCTCCTGGATGTTGACCCGGTAGGTATGAGATTAAGCTATGAGGTTTTAGACAACAACATGGGATTAAAGTCGTACAGGTCAACGATAAAGGTAGTGCCAGCTGGAGTAATCAACGGTGGAGATGAAGGCACGGATGGGTGCCAGATCGAATGGTCATTCTTGGCTGACCCGATTGATGGTTTGAGTTACGATGAAATGGTTAATTATCTGGATGTCAGTCTTCAAGGCATGGCACTGAATATGGAGAAAGCATTATTGGATTCCTCTTTAATGGAAAAAAAATATTCCTCTTAATGGAATAATATGTATTGGAATTTAAATGGATTTCAATTAATTATTGCCTTTAGCTGTGCTTTTCTTTTATTTTCTAAACCATATTGATTTATTATAATTATTATTTATTATAATTATAATAATAATTATTAATTTTTTCATTATGACTTTCGAAATTCCGAATTCTAAATTCCGCGGCACGCCCACAGCCGAGGCTTGTGAAGCCCGTCCGCAGCAAACTCATGGATTCAGCCCAACAATATAATTCCACGGGCTGAGCCTCAGTTTTACTCCACGGATGGGCCAGCCCGTGGCCCGTAACGGGCCCGTGGACATACTGCATTTGATTCTTATTTTACTTATTGCCATTGCAACCACTTAATTCCTTTTATTATTTACTTCATTTTATTTTATTTGCAAAATAAAATAATATTATGTTGAGCCATATTATTAAAATAATAAATATATTATATATTTTATTATTAACTTAATCGACCGGCCTTTATTCGGATTTTGTAGGCTCAAACTCGGCTTATAAATAAATCGGATTTAGACAAATAGCTAAAACTCGACTCGATTCAGTAAAAGATAAACTCGGCTTATAAATAAATCGGGTTTAGACAAATAGCTCAAACTCGGCCGACTCACTACAAAATAGACTGCGCTCAAATAGAGTCGGGCCGAGCCGTCGGGCTTCGGGCCCGGCTCAATTGCTGGTCCTAACTATAAATAGTAAACAGCTTACTCAATTGGGCTGGGCCTTAGTTGCATAACACTTCCACCCAATACCTTTCTCAAAACCCTTTCTTCTAAACCCTCATTCCACTTCCACCAACCGTCCACCGTCCCCCGTCCGCCGTTCGCCGTCTTCAGTCCTCCGTTCGCCGTCCGCCGTCCGCCGTCCGCCGTCTTCAATCCTCCGTTCGCCGTCCTCTGTCCGCATTGATCGTGTTGAAGCGATGGAAAAGGATAAGAAGACTAACGATGAAAACAGTCAGGGAAACAAGTCTCACAGGATACGAAAATCCGGTGCTTCGGTGAAGAAGAAATCGAAGTCCAAGCCGAATGCGAACGAAGGTCTTTCCAAGGAGCAGAAGAAACTTAACAACCCTAAGGTATAAACATATTAATTTATACGTATCTCATGTTTTCGGCGGTAGGATTCATTGATATTTACATGTCACCGAATTTTCTATATGTGATTAGCATGAAAAAATTACCCCAATTCGTGCCAATTTTTCGAATTAGGGACATGTTGATGTATAACAAACTTATGTTAGACCCTATGTCACTCGAGTTTGTTCGATTGTTTCGGACAATTCTGAGTAATTCAGCCGTGTTTTCTTAAGGACAAATTTATCTCACCCTGTGGCTTGAATAATTCGTGTTTTTCCGATATCGTATATTCGTTCTGGTCACTTACTGTTGTGTGAACGTATGGCTTCGTGCTAGGCATTTGCTTTCAATTCGACTGTGAAAGCGAAACGGCTGCAATCACGGGCTACAGAGAAGGAGCAGAAAAGACTTCATGTCCCAACGATGGATCGCACCACGGGAGAACCTGCTCCCTTTGTTATTGTAGTTCAGGGACCTCCTCAGGTTTGTGCATATGATGTTCTACTTTTTCTTTGGTTATGTAAATATCCTGTGTTTGTTCTGTTGATTCTTAAACGAACTTGGAATTTATGGGTTGTACTGTAGGTGGGGAAGTCATTGCTGATCAAGTCTCTAATAAAACATTACACAAAGCACAATTTGCCTGAAGTTCGTGGGCCGATTACTATTGTATCAGGTTGAGTTAGCTTGTCATGCTACTTTAGGAATGAGTCTGTGTTTGTTTCCAACCTGTTATTCATATGCTTGTAGTCTGTAGATACATAAATCTAGTAAAGTGTGTTTTCGTGAGTTCCTGTGATTATAAGTTGGATTGGGATAAACTTGTTTTGTGGTCATTGACTATTTGACCCATTGTTTAGGCAAGCAAAGGCGACTGCAGTTTGTTGAGTGTCCAAATGATATCAACGGGATGATAGATTGTGCAAAGTTTGCTGATTTAGCTTTGCTTCTTATTGATGGAAGCTATGGCTTTGAAATGGTGAGCTTCTATTATTATTTCCATCTTCCTCGTTTTCTATGATTATTTCCTCTTCTTTGTCTACTATAATACCTTCTAAGCATTCAGGAAGTTTTAATATTAAGACGCTGTATATTAGACAATAAGGCGCACCTTGAACATGCAGATCCTTGTTGGTTATTGAAATCAATTAAAACTCTGGCATTGTAAGCTGCTTCATAAAATGAAACATAGAAAGTGGTAAGTTTACGAGAATGCTATTCAGATTCAAGATGCTTGTGTGTGATCTTTGACTCCGTCCTCCATTAGGTTAACTTTATACTAGGAAAGAAGCTAACTGCTCATTAAGCATGATTGTCATGGGCTAGCTGCAATAGAATCCTGTTAAGACTCTGGATAGACAAGTTACAGGAGCAAGCTAATGACAGATTCCCACTCAATTTCTCCATATCCAATTGATGTTTTACAATATATCTCAAAAGTAAAATGCTATTGGAGTATATCTGTTGGTTTACATTCCGAAGAGACATAATTGACCTCCTTGTTTCATCGTGGCAACCGCACCCCCGACCCCCAGCACGCATTCCCTGGCTAAGGGAGGTCCATGCATCGATTTTACATATTTTTTACCAATGTGCTATCATATCATCCCTTTCTTGTAAAATCCGTTGAAATGATTTTTTTTTTTAATTTTTTCATATTATTGATCTAACTATCTTGTGCAGGAAACCTTTGAATTTCTCAACATATTACAAAATCATGGATTTCCTAGAGTAATGGGTGTTCTTACACATCTGGACAAATTCAAGGATGTTAAGAAACTAAAGAAAACCAAGCAAAGACTCAAGCACAGATTCTGGACTGAGATCTATGATGGTGCCAAATTATTTTATCTATCTGGCCTGATTCATGGAAAGTAAGAGGCTAATTGTTTCTTTCATATTTGGTTGTTCAGACTTCAGAGTTACACTGTTAATGACTAGTACTGTAAATAGCCTTAATTTTTTTTGTGTGTGTGTGTAAACAGGTACACAAAACGTGAAGTACATAATCTAGCGAGGTTCATATCTGTCATGAAATTCCCCCCTTTATCTTGGAGAGTTTCTCATCCTTACATCTTGGTCGATCGTTTGGAAGATGTTACGCCCCCAGAGAAGGTGCACATGAATAGTAAATGCGACAGAAATGTTACGCTCTATGGTTATTTGCGTGGCTGTAATTTGAAGAAGGGAGCTAAGGTACACACTTGGATTCAGTCTCATTCAGATTAATGTTTTTAAGTTGCTTCTGTGTGAGGAGATAAGTTCAAATATAAGTGCCCAGATGGAGTATGTTGGTCTCTAATTATGTTTTTTTTTCCTATTGCAATCTCATTCCTGTTAGTCCATCATTTTACGCTTCTAATTTCGCAACACTTTGTTTTTGTTAGTTTATGTTTTTTCATTGTTTCTGAGTAGTTAGTTAGGGATCTTTTTTTTTTTGATTTATAAATATAGTCTTTATTTTACTAATATGTAGCATAAAACAGGCACATATCGCTGGAGTGGGTGATTATCCTCTGTCAGGAATTACAGCGCTAGCTGACCCTTGTCCTCTACCCTCAGCTGCCAAAAAGAAAGGACTTCGTGATAAGGAAAAGCTATTTTATGCACCCATGTCTGGGCTAGGGGATCTCCTTTATGATAAGGATGCTGTCTATATAAATATAAATGATCACTTTGTGCAGTACTCTAAAGATGATGGAACTAGTGCAGAAGGGCTACAAAAAGGTGTACATATGATTAGGGTCATCATAATTTTGTTCCTTTATGCTTTCGTTATATACACCCTCCATTCCTACTTAACTTTTTTTCCATTTGCAAATTTACATTTTTTCCAACAATCTCGATACAATTTTACATTTTCAAAATGGCAATTATTTTTTCCTGAAAGTGTTCTCTCACATGAAATTTTCCGACTCAATTAATTCCGAACCACTATTGATGGAAAATTTGCAACGGTGTTTAATTTTTTTGCTTTTCGCGAAGTCAACTAAATCTGTTTACCTTCCTTTGTTCTGTATGTTTTCTTTATCTCTAAACATTTGTCTTTTGTCTGGCAGCAACGCAACGTGATGTTGGTGTTGATTTGGTTAAATCACTGCAGAAGACAAGATATTCTGTTGATGAGAAATTAGAGAAGAGTTTCATCACACTTTTTGGCAAGAAACCTATTTCACCTTCCGAAGTTCCAATTGGTTCAGTTGATGCTCATGATGTGGCCGATAAAGAAATACCGTTAGAGCCCGTAGAGAAGTATCAATCTGAGATAGTAGATGAAGATGATGAATCAGATGAGGATAGTGACACCGAGGGTGAAGATGACCTTGAATCATCTGATGGAGAGAAAAAAACTATTAAAAAACCATCTTCAAAGAGTATAGATGAGAGTTCAGAGGAGGAAACCTTCTATGCATCGGAGCAACATTCTCCAGCACAAAGCAACTTTAAAGAACAGATTGATGTACATGACGGAAGGGTGAGAAGAAGAGCTGTTTTTGAAAATGAAATGGTGACGGATGACAAGGTAATTGTTTTGTAAGTATCTAATCTGTATGGATCTGTTTTCCTTTTATGTTGCTTCTATATGCTTATGAAAAGGGACGGATGGACAAGCGTAGGAGATCGATCTTAAAATGCAGGCTCTAAGAGGATAGGCATAAAGGAAGAACTGGTTCTATAAAATCAACAATAATGGCTAAAATCATATTATATCACCAAATGGCTTAAGTAGTTTAATTAGCTTTGTACTAAGTCTTCTAATTAAATTTTCGTCATCTAATGTATAATCTAACAAAAAGTTTCTTCCTTCACTTGAATCTTTGAAGACTGATAATAATACTTTTAAAAATGACAATGCCTTTGGGATGAATGTTTTGAGCTCAATTTTGTAGCAGTATGAATCTTATATGTCGACAGAGTTTATGCAAGCAAATATAGGCTGTACAACTACTTAGATGTGTGAATGATGAGACCGCCCCTGTGGACATCCATACAATTGTTTGAGAACATTAATGAGTTTCATGTTTATCTGAGAAGGACTTTGAATCAATACAGTGAAAATAGTACGATTTGAAAAATTATAATGTAGTGATGCTCCCAAATTAACACTATGCACTCTGAGAGCAAGTCACTATATCGCATGTATTGGATTCTTATGAAGCTTATGTCTTAGTAATAATTAGGCTGTATAAGTTGTTATTTATTGATATTTATATGAATTTATGGTCTTGTTGGGATTAAATTTCATAAATTGGGAACCTTTGAATGCAGGATTCTGGTGATGAGGATGATTCGGATTCAAGTGATGATGATAACACAGAAAATGGTGATGATGAATATGCATCTTCTCATTCTGATTCTTCAGCAGATGATGAAGAAGATAATGGTACATCATCTTTTGTATTAAAGTCGTCTTTTGAATATGCATGATTCTGAATTAATTTGATTTCCCCCTCCTTTATTCTTTTGGATGTAATTATTGCAGAAGATGAGATGGGAAACGTTTCCAAATGGAAGGAGTCATTGTCAGAACGAACTGCAGCCAGAAGAAAAATTAATCTTATGCAACTTGTATATGGGAAACCTGAATCAAAATCTTCGGACGAGATGAAGGAAATCAGCGATGAAGGAAGTGAGGATGATGAGTTCTTTAAGCCTAAAGGGGAAGGGAATAAGGTTTACTCCTATATACTGTCGACACTCCTCTCTGTCTTGCAATATTCTTGTTGGGGATTTTAGTGTGGTAACCTCTCCATCATTGAATTAATTGCAGATATCACAGAAAGGAATACATGAAAATGATGTGGACATTGATGATTGTTCAAAATTCTTAAGTAACGTAAGCCTTAAGGATTGGAGCAGTGACGATATGGTTGCAAGTATTCGTGATCGTTTTGTCACTGGAGACTGGTCGAAGGCATCTTTAAGAAATCAACTCTCAAAAGGTACTGATGGTGATGAAGATGATGAAGCCTTCGGTGATTTTGAAGACTTGGAAACAGGTCAGAAGTATGAAAGCCATGGCACAGATGAAGTTGGTGGCTCTCGCAAAGATAATGACTTGGCAGCTGAGGAGCGAAAGCTGAAAAAATTGGCTCTCCGTGCAAAATTTGATGCTCAATATCCTTATCTGTGACCTAATATTCTTTTCATTTAGTTCCATAATATGATATTTTTCCACATGCATCAGATCTGCATAAACAATCATAGTATTAGGAGAAATCATTTGCATCTGTTCCTTGCATGATTTGGTCATGCTTTAAAAGTTTCAATGACAGTAAGGCCTGGTCAAGAATTGGTTATTGAATTTATGATTGGCTTGATAAGAGTATTAAGACACCCAACTACTTTTTTACGGCATCATTTTGAATATTTGTGTCCTTAATTCCAATTTAAGCTTGATGGCTCAGATGAAGGTAACGATGGCAATGACGAGACCAAGGTTAGTCGTGGTCAAACCAATGCAAGTGGATTCTATGATAAGGTAATCTTTCTGGTATTGATCTATATGAGCTACACAAACATCTGAGAGGGTACTTACTCAATCTCTTCGTACAGTTGAAGGAAGAGATGGAACTTCGGAAACAAGTAAACATTGCTGAACTTAATGAACTTGATGAAGTTACTCGGGTTGAGATAGAAGGTTACAGAACTGGGTCTTATCTTAGACTTGAATTTCGCGATGTGCCTTTTGAAATGGTTGAAAATTTTGATCCTTGTCATCCTATTCTTGTTGGTGGTCTTGCACTGGGGGAAGAAAATGTTGGATATATGCAGGTCAGGAACAGCGCCGAAAAGTTATTTAGTTTTCTTCTTTCAAATTTCTAATATAAAAAATTAATGCCACCTGTAGTACTATATTTTCTCTAATGGTCTAGTGATCATCTTTCATTTGTCCTCTGAAGGTACGACTGAAGAGACATAGATGGCACAAGAAAGTATTGAAAACTAGAGACCCGATAATTGTTTCCATTGGATGGAGACGCTATCAAACTGTACCCATATATGCCATTGAAGACCATAATGGGCGACATCGCATGCTCAAATACACACCTGAACATATGCATTGTCTTGCAATGTTTTGGGGCCCACTTGCACCCCCTCATACTGGGGTGGTTGCTATCCAGAATTTATCGAGTAACCAGGTAAACTTGGTTTGGTTGTTTGCTGCTTAGGTTGAGAGTAAACTTGTATTGCCGGTTAGCATTTCAACTTTCTCCTGACTAAGGAATAGAAAACCTTTCGACTTCAGTTATTTATTTATCTATATTCACGAATGCTGTTAAAAGCTATTAAAATGGTATACTCTAGCTGACTTGAAAAAGGAGACTGCATAACCTCTGGGACATTAACTTACTGGCTAGTTTTCTGAATATATATATTTGTTTCTATATACAAACTACATGGAAATACCCGATTGGCCATTCCCATATTACTCTGGCTTGCATAAAGGATGTACTAATGTACAAGTCTGTTGATCCTTGATTTTGATTCACAGTTCCTGTTACTAATGTGTCCTAATTGCTTTTGGGGGTTTTCAGGCATCATTTAGAATTACTGCTACTGCTACAGTGATGGAATTCAACCATGCTGCAAGGATAGTGAAGAAGATCAAGCTAGTTGGTTATGCCTGTAAAATCTTCAAGAAAACTGCCTTCATTGAGGAAATGTTTACTTCAAATCTTGAAATAGCCAGATTTCAAGGGGCAGCTATACGAACCGTTAGTGGAATTCGTGGGCAAGTTAAGAAGGTAATTTTCTTACCCCTAAGGCTAACCCTATTCTGTTGAATAGTAGCCTTTGATTTTCCTGTCACTTTATTTTGGTGGCTTTTCCTTCTATTTTCTTATACTGTTACAACTCTCCTCTTCTCGACTTTAATATATGCCGAGGTTCATAGTATGATTATGTTGTTTGGTGCCAGACTGCCAGGTGTTCTGCTGATAATTGATTATAAATTATATAACCTATTTGGCTTTTCTTTTTGTTCATATTTCACGCATTGACGTTAATTTTAGGCAAGTGATTTTTCTTTTTCTTTTTCTTAGGCTGCAAAAGAAGAGATTGGTAACAAGTCCAAGAAGAAGGGCGGAGCTACAAGAGAAGGCATTGCTAGATGCACATTTGAGGATAAAATAAAAAAGGGTGACATTGTGTTCTTACGGGCTTGGACTCAAGTGGAAGTTCCTCAGTTTTACAACCCTCTGACAACAGCCTTGCAGCCACGTAATGAGACATGGCAGGGAATGAAAACAGTGTCTGAACTTAGGTGGGAAAATAACCTTCCGGTGCCAGTCAACAAGGATTCACTTTACAAGGTGAAGAAATATGGCAGAATTATGAACAAATTGATTGTCATTGTGTTATTATTTCCTGACTCCTTTTTATTTTTATTTTTTTTTATTAAAGCCTATTGAGAGGAAGCAGAGAAAGTTCAATCCATTGGTTATCCCAAAGTCGTTACAGGCAGCTCTACCATTTGCGTCGAAGCCCAAGGATATACCTTTTAGAAAAAGGTCATTGCTTGAAAATAGGAGAGCTGTAGTGATGGAGCCTAAAGAACGTAAAGTGCATGCTCTTGTCCAACACCTTCAACTCATTAGAAGTAATAAGGTAATTAAATTAGCCTACATTATTTTCTGAAAGAATTTTCTGTCAGCCATTTTTACCATGATCGACAAGTGTCATCTTATGTGTGAAAAAACAGAAATATGAATGAAATTGATATCCCCCACCAAGCTCTACGGACAAGTTCAACCATAGCTAGTCTAAATTTGATACCCTCTTTTTTTTTTGTAGATGAAAAAACAAAAAATCAAGGACGATGTAAAGAGGAAGGCAAGAGCAGTGGAGCTTGCAAAGGAAGAGCAAATTTCGAAAAAGAGACAGAGGGAAGAACGTAGGGGAAGGTACATAGAACAGGAAAAGCAAAACAAGAAAATACGACGAAAAACAGAATCCTGATTCTTTAGCTGCTATTTCTGGTGAGTGGTGAGTCGGGATATCATGTTTCCTTTTGCAGCATTAAGCTTATGTCGTATGATGTAAAATCTCTCATCAATATGTTGGATATCTGTGCTTTGCAGTCGGGGAAGAGCATCCTCGACCGTACACTATAATGGGGCAGATACAACGTTTTTTATGCGTGTTTTTGTCCAATTTTGTTGTGCTTTATCCGAATACATTTATTGCAGCTACAATGGGAACGAACGATACTAAGTAAAGCTTGTTTCTAAGATATGGCCTAACCATATTGGCTATCCGGCAGAGTAAGAACAAGGTATGGACCTTCTATCCATATTTTGTCTCGTTTTGAACTTGTGATCTAATGCACACACACAATGCATTATTTATTTATGGTAGCTTGAAAAGAGTATTAGTTGATTTTTTAAAGAAAGATTCCTCCTTCTGTGGTTCTGATAGAGATGTCCTTCTGTTGTGCATGCTTACTATGTGATATATGGACTGATGTCTGTAATTCTAAATTTGATTTCAAATTTTCTTTTGTTGATTGATTAAGATGGACTGTTGTACTGGGATTTTGCGAGTCTTAAAAGTTAGAAGATTCACATAACAATCTATTAAGTTGCTTGTCTGGGCGAAGTATGTGCAACGGTATATAGTTCGTGTTTGTTTCTCGTTGTTGCTTTAATTTGAAACTAAAGCAATTTCAGACATTTTTTTATTTTAATTGGATCATGCCACACCAAAAAACGCATTTAAAACACACTACACCGAACACGCACTGAAAATACTCTGTGCTAGGAGCATGCACTGAATACACGTACCATAAAAAACACACTATACGTAAAAAAAACGCACTACATTACACACTGCACGTAAAAACATTCACTAAGCAACAAACATGTAAAAAAAGATACTACATCAAAAACACGCTCCAAAAAACACACTACACCTAACACCAAAAACATGCATTAAAAAAAAGCACTACATAAAAAACACGTACTATAAAACACACTACCGAAAAACCACTACACCGAAAAAACACACCACACCAAAAACACGTACTACAAAACGCACTACACTAAATAACACACTACACTAAAAAAACACACTGCACCTAAAAAATACACTACACCAAAAACACGCACTAAAACACACACTACACCTAAAAAACACACTACACCAAAAACACGCACTAAAACACACACTACACCTAAAAAATACACTACACCAAAAACACGCACTAAAACACACACTACACCTAAAAAATACACTACACCAAAAACACGCACTAAAAATCACACTACAACTAAAAAACACACTACACCAAAAACACACACTAAAAAATACACTACAACTCGAAAATACATTACACCAAAAACACACACTAAAAAATACGCACTAAAAAAACACACCACCTAAAAAAACACACTACACAAAAAACACACTGCACCTAAAAAACACGCACTAAAAAACACACTACACATAAAAATAGTACACCGAAAACACGCACTAAAAAATACACCATAAAACACAGTACATCTAAAACACATACTACACCAAAAACACACACTACATAAAAAACACACACTATAAGCACAACACCATCCAGAACTAGTCACACTACATTGAGTGCTAAATACACTACACCCGACTAATCACACTATCGAGGACTAAATACACCACACTACAGTCTGCACCCAAGACTAAACACACTACCGAGGACTAATTACACTATACTACGGTGTACACCCAAGACTAATCACACTACCGAGGACTAAATACACACCCAAGTCTAACTCTACACTGATGGCTAAATACAGTACACTAGGGCTAAATACACTACAATAGAGGCTAAATTAACACCTAAGACTAAATACACTCCAATAAAGGCTAAATACATTACACTAGTGCTAAATACACTACAACAGAGGCTAAATACACACCCAAGACTAAATGCAGTACACTAAGGGCTAAATACACTACGACTAAATGCACTACACCCAAGACTAACAAATACACAACGAGAACTAAACACAACACATAAATGAAGAACTAAATACACTACACCAAGAAAGAACTAAATACACTCCACCACACCACAGTGAATTTGAATACTCTACACCACACCACAGTGAATTTGAATACACTCCACACATACTATTAATATTATCACAAAATCAGCTTGGCAGTTATTGCTACTGCATTTCGACAAAGAATAAACTGCCAGTAATTCCAACGCATAGCAAATCTCTAGTATCATGTTCCAAAACAAGATTTTTCAGCAAAGCTTTTCTTGTCTTTTCAATAAACTAATCATAAAAACACTTCTAGTTTTGCTGCAATAAATACAAGACATGCAACAATCACTTATATACATATTCTAAGTCCACAAGATCGATCACACCTAAAGATTGAATATTCAGCTCAAAATGATAAACAGTCCGGTTCTTCGCCATGGTTTAACAATTAAAGCTAGTTCTGCTGGTTATATATATCACCAATAACCAGAGTGGCATTTTCATAATAGCCGCTTCTCCATCCAATCAATGATATCCTGGGCGATCTCTTCACGCTCAGGCTCAAAAAGAAGGTCGTGCAAATATCCTTCATAAAGTTTGATGTCCTTAAACTTGGAGGGCGCCTTATCGTATAAATCCTGAGAAGCCAATGGGTCAGTTACTCTATCAGCAGTTCCATGAAGGACGAAGAATGGAACTGTAACAGACTGAAAGTTGCGCATCAAGTACGCAGAAATGCGCAATATCTCGTGGCCAGTGCGGACTCTTATGGGTCCAGTGTAAACCAAAGGGTCCGAGTATTTAGCTAAGAGCGCTGCAGGGTCCCTCGAAACTGGAATTCCCCTTTTGTTAGCACCTTTGAATTGAAATCTTGGAACTACCATCGAAAATATTGGGGCCACAGCCTGCAAGAAAATGATGATGGAAGTAAATTTATTGTGCCAAAAAGAAACGTTGAACCAATATCAACATTTTTTTCTAGTGACACGAAAAATATGATTTTCTTGGAAACAAGAGCACAATTATATAATAGGTAAAGACTCAGTGAGCATATTCACAATGGGAAGATCTTTCAAGAATTATAGTAAAAGAGAACCCCATTACTTACACCAACAATAGGATGGGCTGGCTTGACGCGCAAAGCAGGTGAAGTCAATATGATTCCCTCCAACATTTCTTCGATATGGGGATACGAAGCAGCCTAATAAAAGAATCATAATTCGAACACAGTAAGAAGAATAGCAGACATTTTGCTGGAGGCAGAATATAAATGAAGAAAAAAAAGGATCTCAAAGTGGCATATGCTTCTTGCAAAAATCATACCTTCAAGACCACTGCCCCTCCAGTTGAATGACCAAACAAGAAGCATGGTACACCTGGGTTCTCTAACTTTACTTTTTCCAGAAATGCAGCCTTTGAAAAGGAGAACAGGTATCTTTTAAACCATGTTACATATATAGGAATACTAAAACAGCAGAGGAAAACAAATAATGGCACAAAACGCCACCGAACATACACAAAAAAGAAAGAAAAGCTAAACTTACAGTGTCCGCAACAACATGATCCAGTGAAGGTACATATCCATGCAATCCATCACTTCCACCATGACCTATCGAAGGAAAACCTCGGTGTCTTTAACAGCAATTTTTAAACTATACTTGCGGCAGGATTCTTTAAGAATCATCAGCACTTAAATGATGGTGGTTTTATTTTAAAAAATATATACTTATCCAATTGTTTACAAATTAGCAGCGGAAGGGGATTAGGGTTACATTATTAAATGACTGTTGAAGTACATGAATAAACAAAAAAAAAATTCAATCAGAAAAGATCAATATAAGCTCATACGTAACATGCAAAAGAGATAGACAGCAGCACACGCATGATTCATAACCACTACGTAATAGTTTCCTTTGGCTAAAAATTATTTCTGAAAATATAATCGAGGCATAAACAAAATGATGATCCTTGATCTCATGCGTCATCTTTTATGTTGCTCACTCTACAAGGAGCATTTGTTGGCACACAAATTAATATGCAAAATCAGAGGGAAGGAAACAACTCTTCTAATTTCGTAATCTAGAGCAGCAAAACTGTTACATAAATCAAAATCCAGAAAAATCATTAACGCTCCAGCACAAGATCTTACCAATCCAATCCATTGCATAGACCCCAAAGTTGCAGGAGACTAGTTCTTTGGCAAAATGTGTGTAGCGCCCACTGAAACCGAAACATATGTAAATGTTACGAGCCGCAGATTAGCAACAGCATCTTTACTTTAGAGAGGAAAATGAGTAGAAATGAGAAATGAAGTGAATAACATACCTGTGTTCATTAAGCCCATGTATGATAATCACAATACCCCTGAAATTCAAGTCCTTAGTGAATAGAGAGACGAATAAATGTAATAACATAAAGGCAGGCAATTGGTAAAGTTTGAGAAGGTATATATCTAGACATAATCGTAAACAAAAAAATTGACACTCACTCCATTTAATACATAAATTTTAGATGTTAAAGTGCACGAACGCAATCACGGCCAAATACATAGATGATATCAGCATATCACAAGCAGAAACAAATCAATACTCAAGAACCCTGCCTCATGCTTGATACCAGTATATCACCAATAGTCACATTGCAAAAGTTTGAAACTGCAAAATACTTGATACTCCGAGTGTTGAGTTCAATATTATTCGATTGTTAATGTTTAAACTAATTATTCACAAAAGAAAAACAAAACAATAATCAGATTAAAGATCGAGAACACAAGACATGTTCGTCTGGTCCTACCCAAACATTAATCAGAATCCGAGCACATAAAGCCTTGACAATTAAGCAATACAATGAAAGCATCAAGGAAACAAAAAATTCTTCAATTTCATTCTCACGCAAGCATAAAATTAACAGGAAAAAAAAAAAAAAAAGAGAAATCATACTTAATTTCACCGTACACCGGCAACCACGACCGGCAAAAGAGAGCATTTCGTCTTACACCAAAGAACAACGACGTCGTCCACTGGCACCGGCGGTTATCGTCCGCCACCATATCAATTGCCTCCGCTAAAGCCCTGCGCCGCAGCGTATCCTCCTCATCTCTCCGGATACCAAATTTTCGGTACCGTATGGCAGACGACGCCGATTTGGGGGACGAAGGCGGTGAGGAGGCGGCGGTAGAGGATAATCGGTGACGGCGGGGGAGAAGGAGTAGGATCCATACGAAAAATGAATAAATTAAGAGAAGAGATTTGCGAAATGACTCGTATGAAAGGATTGACTGACGTAGGTTTTTGAAGACCGGAATTATGCGGCTACTCGCACCGGACGTTAGCTCCTCCACCTGCAACGCCGCCGCCGCTGCCTCCATTCCCCGTGCCCTTGTTAGGGTAAATTATGTGAAACTGTTTTCAATACGTCCGTAAACAAAATTCTAGGTCGAGAGAAAGAGGGAAAGGAGGTTGAGGAGGAGGAGAGAGAGAGAGAGAGAGAGAGAGAGAGACAGAGACAGAGAGAGGAACAGAGGGTGGCGGTTTAACGCGTTACCGGGGATTCTATACACGAATGAAGGTGTGGAAATCCCCTCCTGTCTTTGTTTCTCCAGTAATTTGCAGTTCGAATGAAATGGAATATTTTCCTAGGACTTGTTTGGTTGGGCTTATAATATATTGAAGGGTAAATTGTGAAATTACGAAAACCCCCTTCTTGTTTGGATAATTACAACCACCCCTCAACTCCTCAAATTTAGTGGAATCTTTGAGATTATATGGAATATTATCACTTTTATACCCATTTTATTCAATTCGAACTCTACATTTTGAAGCAAGATGATCATAAGATGTGTTTTTTGGCTTGTATATATCAGATTGTGGTGCATCAGAAACTGTATTTTTTGACACAAAACGAGTACAAACTAAAGCACATTCTACGAAACCTAGATGATTATATTGAATTTGACATCATAAGAGTGGAGGTGTAATAAAAAAACATAGTTGATGGGTAGATGTAATTATCCAAACAAGAGGGTTCTTTTGTAAATTAACCATATCTCAGGGGGTGTTTGTAATTTACCTTATATTGAAAAGCTGTTTGGTTCTAAAAGAATCTTACATCGCTAAAAAAAAAAAAAAAAAAAAAGAAGAAATATATGTATATAAAAGTTTATAATATTTTTTAACAAATAAGGTTTATCATAATAAATTCCTCTATGATTACTACAAATTTTGCAACTACTAAATATTTAAACAATTAAATATTTTTTTATTATCTAAAACTTCGATGATTAATTCTTAAACATTTTTTTAATTGCAAACATATTTTATTGCATATCTGAGTTTATAAAATATTTAAAAAATAATTAGTCCAATAACTGCAAATCTTCTGAAGGGCAATTGTCGTTTACTAGTTTAATAATTCTCTGTGTTGGTTACAGTCAAAGTATGTCAGAATCTAGAAAATATTTCCACAGCAGAAGTTGCAGTATTAATTGGATGAAATAGCACAGAAGATCACAGTAGGAAAGTGAAGCGGCTCAATAAACCCAGGAAGGGAAACAATACGGTGTTGTGGGAATATTATATTAGTTTATAGAGTTTGTGGGGACTAATTCAACGTGATGCGTGTACAAGTTTATGATGTAACTGCTGACGTGTCTCGTTCTAATTGGTTATTAGGTTAGTGTTAAATGTGGTTCGGGAATTATCGAAGGGCTATTTTTGTAAGATAGGTGACCAAATTTTGTTCCCTTATTCTTTTTCTTTTTTGACCAAATTTTGTTCCTTTCTTTTTGCACCTATTAAATATTTTAAATACGTGGCATGTTCGTTCAATTTTGAATTATGAAGGTTGTTTAGTACAAGTGTAATTTTTATTTTTATTTTTTTTATAAGTCAAAGGGGTAGTGAAAATTAAAACTACACAAATATTTTTTGCATGTAACACATGAAATTTGGAATCTTAGTCACAATTGTAAATTTGTAATTAAAGAATTTCTAAATATTCCTTAACTATGGTGCAATCTTATCTTGACACCTCTACAATCTTATCCAATGTAATCTTTCACTTAATTGTTCTTATTAAACAATTATGACATTTTTTTTATTCAATTTAATTGCTCATAAATTTTGAGCATGGACAATTGGTTCATACCCATATCAAATAGAATATCTATATATAGGTGTAGTTTAATTTGTATTTACATTCAAAATATATGTTGGGGCCAAAAAATGTTGGATATTAATTTTTATATTCTTTAATAATTAATGCAAGCCAAATTATGTGGATGCATAAGTTTGGAGAAATCTAAGTTTATACGCATAATTTTAATCGAGGAGTGCATGTGGATGTAATTTGTTTGTGGTCCACAATCTTTCCTAGGAGCTTCCAAAATTATATAATTAATATTGAATTAATAAACTATAATAGTTCCTCAACTTCCAACATCGATCTAATATTATCATTTAGGTCCCGCAAGGAATGACCTAACGATAAGAGCAAGTGAGCATGTGTCAGTTGATTCAAATTTGAATTTATTTGTTAACGGTCGCTAGGTTGAATTTGTCACAAATGAGTCCAATGTTGTTTACGTTTCTCGTATGATTTACAAGCTATTATACGAGAGTATAGATTTACCCGATACACCTGTATAGTTGGCTGCTGATCACTTCGTTACCAAAAAAAAGAAATAATAGTATCCTTTGGAAAAAGATATATGCCAACAATTAAATGCTAATTTAGTTACTTCAATTGACCCTACAATCTACATCAACTTTTATATAACAATAATAATTAGCTAATAATAATAATACGTGCATCGATATTTCTTATGCTTGATGTGTATGTTGTCTCAATGTTGTCCATCTTCTTCAACTAATTCATTTATTAGCTAATCATTTTTGCTACTGCAAATTTTTTATAGGTTTGGTAGAGACTATATATCCAGTCAAATATATCGAGTAAAATGTCGCTATTTACGTGTATAGATAACTAGTCATTTTATATATATATTCGCAAGTACGCATATGTGTAAATGATGTGTAGATATATGATGCGAAATTACTCAGTATATTTGATTGATTGTAACATCTTACTATTTATATATGCCTTTTTCATTAATTTATCATTATAATTGCATATCATTTTATGAGGACTCGTGCTATTTCCACCACCAAATTATCTCAGTTCACCACCAAAGATTGTAAAATGTCATAAATACCCCTAAAATTTATAATCCACCATCCTTCCTTATATTAACTTAATTCTCATGTGTTCTAACTTATTTTTATTTTATTAATTTATTAATTTTTTTAATTTCAAAAAAAATTATTAAGTTTTCAATTTTTTACAATGAAATATTTATTACAAGATATTTAAACTTTCATATCAGATGACAAACAGATTATGTAATTTTTTTTTTTAGGAAATAAAATTATGTTAAACCAAATTGGCTAATTCTTGAAGAAGTTCAGGATTCTATGCAATCAATCTTCATTTATTTCTCAAAAAAAGTGAATTCCTGCTATTTTTGACCTTCGAAAATGTTTTTCTCTCGTAAAAGTATTATTCACTTACGGTGGACAGGGTGAGATTTCCCGTGAAAAGGGTGGGATTTGTTTTATAAATATTTTAATTAGTTTAGTGGTAGATGGTTTATAAATATTGAAAAATATAGGTGAAAGAAGAAGAAATGGGTAAAATTGGAAAAATATTTAATTTGGTGGTGAAATAAGATATTTTGAGGGTGGAAATAACACGTCTCTGTTATGAGCTAGATTAGACACTTATATATATATTAAGTTTTGGTTGACTTGTTAGCCTAGTTTCAACCCCTTAAATTAAAACATTTGTGGTGAATCCTTTGAAAAGTTGAAAGGCTATGTAATAATAGTTTATTACATATATATATACAAGTTCAAAACTAATTTCTTTATTACTTAAATCAATTAATTGCACCACTGTAATGTTTCCAATCATTGTTGTACCACTCGCATTGCGGAGTTGTACTCTTTTGGCAGTGGAAATACTTCCCACGTTCCGAACTCCGAATTTTGTCAGACACAATCTGAAGTCCAAACAAACTAAATTCCATATTGAAATTAAATATTTATTGACAAATTATATTAACAAATTGAATTTCCAACATATTCATGGACCCATTTAGGCCACATTCACTCCAATCTGTATGGGTAATGAAATCTTGGCCCAACAAATTGAATTCCAACATATTTTTTCCATTTTGTTTTTCATTTTCATTTTTTTTTAATTTTATTTTCATTAAAATAAGTGGACTATTCGGCCAGGGCTATTAAAATAAAACAAAAGAAATATAATTATTATTTAATATATTTTCATTAATTCTTAATTATCAAATTACATATATAGTTGTTGAATAATTCTAATTTGGTCTTTAACTATATTGAATTTTTAAAAGCAAAAAAAAATTGATAGATAAAAAGCCCAACTCAAATTAATTGGTTCAAACTAATCAAAATCTGAGCAAATTTAATGATCAATCCGAATAAAGTCTATAAATATTCAATTTTAAGTTTATTAATTTTTAAAAAAGATAAATAAAAAAAATTATGGAGTTCCACTAGACCACTAGTGGTATGGTAACAAAAGCCAGATTACTGCTTTTAGCTACCAATCAAGACTCATGTGATTCGATTTGATGCTGAAGGAACTTTATTTCTTTACAAGTTACCATAATTTTTTTTTTCTTTTTCTTTTTGCCTTTCTCGTGATGAGTTTGTGTTCTTGGTCTCTAAATAACAGAAAAAAGGAAAGAAAAAAAAAAAGAAAAAAAAAAGAAAGAAAGAGAAAAAGACATAATTTGTGATGTTGTGGTGTTATGAGTTATCATATGTTCTTTCAACAAAAGCAACAGTTCATGGATGGTTGCAATATCATGTCCCGTGATAACAGCATCACTTCACGGAGATGCACAATTATTAATTCATTATTAATTAATGGAGAAACTATATATTATAATTCAAAAATAAAAGATTAATTAATTAATTAATTCTCCCAAAGTGAGTTGTACAATAATATATTGTGGTGATTGAGTAGTTAAGGGGTGTACATTTTTTATTGTCTTCCACTAGCTACAATTTAGTTCATATATATTTGATTTAATTAGTCTTTTTTTTTTTTGTGTGTGTGTGTGTGTAATTCCAACATTACTTTCCTTAACTAAAGCTAAAAAGGAGATTTAACAAAGTTTAATAAATCCCCTTAGTCCCAAAAAAGTAATTCACAATTCTTAAGTAATGTCCATTGTTTCCTAGCTAGTTAATAATTACTAGTATTAGTTAATAATTATGACAAAATGAGTAAGCTTGAAAGTTCAATTAATTTCCTTAGATTATCGGATTTTGTCGATGCTACGAGTACTAGAGTTAAATTTGTTACATACGTACAGTTCCGCAAGAGATGACCTAACGATTGTGTCAACTAACCCAAGTTCGAATCCTTTTGACAACGGTCAATAGGTGTAACTTTGTCACATATGGTCTGCTTAGTGTAATTTACGTATCTCGTATAATTTACAAGTTATTATACGAGAATGTAGGTTACCCCAGTGCATGCACCTATATTGTTAGTTTTGATTTCTTTCGTTACCAAAAAAAAAATTGTCTCTCTCTCACACACACACACACATTTCTATGGTCGACAAAAATAACCATGCATGCTAAAACTGTGGTCCACATACTCTTGAACCAGTCTTAATTAATTCCAAAACCCTAAAAGAGAACACCCTATAAATTTAAGCCTCCGATCTCCGATCCATTACATTATTATCAACTCCAGTCTTCATGCAACTTCAACAAAACAAAAACCTTTTTCAATAACCCAATTTTTTTTAAAAAAAAAAACGTAATTTACATTACAATTGGTATATTCAATCTTCGTAATGGCGCCAAACAGGGACTCCAGTTTTATCGAGAGCTTGACCAAAAACACCACCAACAACAACGTTAATTACCAAAAGCCCCCCAAACTCTCAATGGACACCCTCCAACGCACCATCTCCGACATTTCATTCCAGCTCATCAGCCAGGACTCATCGGAAGAAACCGACGACCACCAGCCGCCGCCACTGCCGCCGATATCGGAGGTGGAGGAGGCCAAGTGCGAGTGCTGCGGGATGTCGGAGGAGTGCACGCCGCAGTACGTGAAGAAAGTGCGGGAGAAGTACTGCGGGAAGATGATCTGCGGGCTTTGCTCGGAGGCGGTGAAGGAGGAGATGGAGAAGAACGGCGGCAGCAGGGAGGATGCCATTCACGCGCACGTCAGCGCGTGCTCTAGGTTCAACCGGCTGGGCAGGGCTTTTCCGGTGCTGTGCCAGGCGGAGGCGATGAGAGAGATTTTCCGGCGGAATGTTCGGGCGAAATCAGTTAGCCCTAGAGATAAAGGCGGAACGAATATTATTAATAATACTCAGAAGAAAGCTGGGATTTCGAGGAGTGCCAGCTGTATTCCGGCTATTACCAAGGAGATGAATAATTAATACTGATAAAATGATCTGATTAATTACTTAATTAATTAATTAATTAATTGCATGCAGAATGAGTTTTTAATTGATTAATATTAAGTTAGTTCTCTACTTGCATTGTAACTAATTAATTAGTGTATGTTGGAATGGTGTTAATAATAAATATAATATATAATTTAATACAAGTTTGTTTTGTGATGAATTGTGTTCCTAGAGTTTTGTGTAGTTTAATTTTCTGATTTATAAGTGATTTCTTCTCGTCTGTTTACTTGTACGTGTGAGCTACTCCATTAACCAGCATAAGCATAATTATGGGTGTAAACGAGTCTAGCTCGAGTTCATTTTGGTGAGTTTGAATATTAATTTTTGGGCTCGTGATCGACTTCAAGCCAATTTTGACGAGCTCATGAACAACTGAAAACTGAGAAGAAGCTCAATCTAGGCTCGAACTCCAAAAATTTGAGTTCGAGCTTTGGTTAAGTCGGCTCAGCTCATTTACACCCCCAAACATAATTATGTATTTTTCTTATGTAAACTCGTATAAAAAATTCATTAGATTCAATTAATATTTTTTTCTTAAAAAAGAGAGAAATCGAAAATAATATATAAAAAATATTTTTATAACAATATTACAAATTTTCAAATAAGAAAATAGTAGGCAGCCGATAATCCCAAATATATAGTACCTAGAAATTGATGAGAAATAGAGCCCATATTTGTTCGGACCCAATCTGCTCTACTGGGCTTATTCCGACCCATAATACTCACCGGGTCTGTTCAATGGATCCGTTGATTTGAATAAAGAGTTTACCAAGGAAGTTAGCTTTTATTTCTTTATTTAATTAAATTAATTAAGTGCACATAATCTAATGGTCACATTGGACAACCCTTATTTAGTGGAATTGGGTCGGCTTATCGTCATGCTTATCTCATGTCATCAACTAATAAGACCAAATAAATATTGATTTTTAAGTAGGACAATATCTTTCTTGTTTTTCTATTTTCTTAATACATAATTACAAAATAAAAGATTAGTGTTTAGTTGATCTGTCACAAAATTAAGATGGGATTATATATGTTTAATTAATACATTAAATTAAGAAAAGTGGAACATTATTTTGTAGTGCAAACAGGGGCACTAAATCTTGGATGGTAGTGCACTTTACAGCATAATGGCATAAGTTAACTTTCCAATATCATCTACTAATAAAGTGGAATTAATTAAATTCTGCATTTTAAGTTGATAGTGCCATAATTAACTTTGATATATACAAGATAAAGTTAAATAATCTACATGATCTTGAAAACTAGATTTACACAGGAAAAGTGGACCAGTATACATAAATAAATAAATATGCAATACACATATTGTATATACCAGATGAGAAATATGAATAAATGGCGCACGCCACCAAAGTAAAAATAAAGTAAATTATTAAAATCCAAGTTGAAGTTGTAGTTATATATATATATATATATATATATATATATATATATATATATATATATGTAATATTTAATCTACTGACATTGTTTATATTGAAACCTATCGAGTGATTCAACTTAAAATAGTTCAAATATTATGATGATTAAATTAGTTGGTTTTCTCTAAATTTTTTTTTTTTTTTTGAGGAAGATTTTCTCTAAATTGATATGATATATAATGCAAGGGTGAAATAGGACAAGTTTAAGGAAATTAGGGGTAAGAATAGAATTAGTCCGGAATTTGGGGGGGAACGAAGGATGAAAGAAGAAAAGAAAGCATGCTAAAATGACAAAGACAAGACACTGTATATTCCTTGGGAGAAAGAGAATGGAGGGGGTGGGGCCCACAAAGTGAAGAAATGGTATTGCACAAGCACCAATTTTCATTACCAACAAAAAGATACACCACTTTTTTTACCCAGTTCTGTATAAAAAATATTCCCTTTTTCTTTATGTACTCTCTCTCTCTCACTAACTCAGTACTCTCTCTCTCATCTCTTTTGTAGTACATTATGGTATATCATCTGTATTTATGTGTCTCATTCTTTCACAATCCCCACTCTTCTTTCCATCTGACATTATAACTTTCACCCTTCTCTCTCTCTCTCACACACTGCCACACACAGTGTGTGTGTGTCTCTCCAAGAAAAGCAATGAAAATTGTGTGCTCAAATTAAATCATAAGGGATAAATATAATTCATTCAAGAATGTTACTTAATTATTCTTTAATTAAATCCATCTTCCTAATTCAATCTTCAAGAACATTTTCAATTTCATGATATACACACATATATATATATATATATATATATATATATATATATATATATATATATATGGCTCACACCAACTTTTTGAGCATCAACGGTTACACAAATTTCCAAAGGCAGTCAAAAGAGCATTTTGGTAATATCCGACAAAACCTTTTCCCTTTTTTCCCCCTTTATACCGTTCGTGTGTTGTGTTCATTTAGCTTGCTTACCTTCAAACCCCATTATTTTATAATATATATATATATATATATATATATATATATATATATATATATATATATATATATATATATATATATATATATATACACCCTTCAATTCACAGATTGTTGCCCTCAAAATAAACCCTAGTAGTCTCTCTTCAGTCCTCATCACTTCTCTATATATAATTCCTTTAAATTTTGTATAAGCAGCTTTTTTCTGCTGTATAACAAAAAATCTTGTTTCTTTCTTACATACATATCCATACAACTTCTTATAAGTTTTGTGGTACGTCACCTAACCTTAACTTTATTCATATTTGTAACTGATATTTATGTATTGTTAATTATCTTCACCTCATGTTCACCATGCTTTCTCTTTCTTCTTCTTCTTCTTTATTGTTGCTTTTGCTGTCACTTTTTTTTTTTTTTTTTTTTTAAATAAACATGTTTAATTTGTCTATGTATGAAAGATTCTTTACAAAATAACTTAAAAGCTGTTTCTCATTCTGTGTGAGTGTACTATGTGTTTTTCCTTCAATTTTTACTAAACATTCTATATTAATTAATTAATAGTAATAATAAATTAAACATCAGATCCAAGAACACACAATTGTGAGTACAATTGCTTATTTTTGTTATGTTTTGTTGCAGGAAATGAAGGATTAATTAATTATCCTCATATCAGCTGAAAAAGTTGCTTTTTTTTTCAGTACTCGATCCCTTAATTTGAGCTTATTATCAGCAGATCAAGATTCAGTCGATCGGTCGAAAATGGCGAACAATTACGACATGTTTCTCCGGTTTGCATTCGTGTTTATGTTCATCAGCTGCCACCTGTCCACATGCAAAGGTTTCGAACTCGAACTCGAACTCGAAATACTTCTCTCCTTACAATCTTCAATAAATACTAATCAAATATCTCATCCCTTCATCAACTGGAACTCATCTCTTCCTTTCTGCAAATGGAATGGAATCACATGCTTCGATTCTTCGCACGTGTCGAAAATCGAGCTACCTGGAAAAAACTTATCCGGAAAAATCCCGAATTCCATTTTCGAATTACCACACATCCAATCCATCGATCTATCGAATAATCAATTGTTTGGCGAAATCCCGTATAATTTGTCATCTTGTTATTCTCTCAGATACCTCAATCTGAGCAGCAATAACTTAACAGGGCTAATCCCAATAGGCCGCCTCCCGTTTCTCGAAACATTCGACTTGTCGAATAATATGCTTTTTGGTGAAATCCCGGAAGAGATTGGATTTTTTTCGGGCTTAAAAGTTGTCGATCTCGGCGGGAATATTCTCTCCGGGAATATTCCGGATTCGATCACAAACATGACAAAGTTGGCGTTTCTCACACTTGCATCAAATCAATTGAGTGGCGAAATTCCGAAAAGATTAGGCCTTATGAAGAGCTTGAAGTGGATTTATTTAGGGTACAATAATTTTTCGGGCGAAATTCCGAATTCGATCGGAGATTTGATCAATTTGAAGCATCTTGATTTAGTGTACAACAATCTCACAGGTGAAATCCCTTTGTCTTTAGGCAACCTCACAAATCTTGAACACCTTTTTCTCTACTTCAATAAGCTCACCGGTCCGATTCCGATAACCTTTTTCGATGTTCGAAAATTAGTATCGCTCGATTTGAGCGATAACTTCCTTTCGGGTGAAATCCCGGAATTGTTTTTTCAGTTGCAGAATTTGGAAATCCTCCACTTATTCTCCAACAACTTCTCCGGAAAAATACCGAACGCCTTATCGTTTCTACCTCACCTCCAAATTCTTCAGCTCTGGTCTAATAGGTTATCAGGTGAGATACCTAAAGACCTTGGCAAGTACAATAACCTCACTATCTTAGATCTTTCGACCAATAATCTCACCGGAAAAATCCCGGAAAATCTTTGCTCTTCGTCGCGTTTATTCAAGCTCATCCTCTTTTCGAACTCCCTAAAAGGCGAAATTCCAAAGAGTTTGAGCCTCTGCAAGAGCCTGCAGCGAGTTCGACTTCAGAAAAACGAACTCTCCGGCGAACTCTCGCCAAAGCTCACATCACTTCCGGCGGTGTACTTTCTTGATTTTTCGGAAAACAAATTTTCAGGCAGGATTGATGACAGAACATGGGATATGCCACAGCTTCAAATACTGAACTTGGCGAAAAACGAGTTTTTCGGTGAATTGCCGGATTCTTTTGGAAGTAATAGCCTGGAAAATTTGGACTTGTCAGGGAATAGATTTTCGGGCGGCATACCGGAAAAGTTTGGCGAATTTTCAGACATAATGGAGATGAGGCTAAGTGGGAATGAACTGTCAGGAAAAATTCCAGACCAGTTATCTTATTGTAAGAAGCTTGTGAGTTTAGACCTAAGCCATAATCATCTCGCCGGAGAAATTCCGACGAGTTTTGCATCCATGCCGGTTCTTGGTCAGCTTGATTTGTCTGTCAATGAATTAACCGGAAAAATTCCTTCGAATTTGGGCGAAGTGGAATCGCTTGTTCAAGTCAATATTTCTTACAACAACTTCCATGGAAGGTTGCCCTCGACCGGGGCATTTCTCGCAATAAATTCAAGTGCCGTGATCGGTAATAACGAACTCTGCGGGGCCGTTTTACCACCGTGCGACGACGGGGCTAAAAACCGCAGTAGTACTCATTGGTTCGTTTTAGCCTCTCTTCTTTCGTTAGTGACGATATTTTCCGTCGCTATTTTTGTCGCGGTCTTCGTTAGGCCGAGGAAAAGAATGCCGTTCGATTCGAAGAGGGTAGTCGAAAGTGAAGACAGGGCTTGGGAATTGCAGTTCTTGAATTCTAGTGTTTCGAAATGGATAACTATTAAGGACATTGTTTCTTCTGTAAGGGAGGAGAATCTTTCTTACAAAGAGCAGTCAACCTTAAACAAGAAGCGAAGATTCTTCGCTAAGGAAATAGCTCCGATTGCAACGAAGAATTGGACGGAGTGGACTCGATTGTATTGCGAGATTAATCATCCGAATGTTGTGAAGATGCTTGCGGTATGTAGATCGGAGAAGGCCGCGATTTTGGTGCATGAATACATTCAAGGCAAGGATTTGAGTGAAGTTATTCGACATCTGAGCTGGCGAAATCGTATTAAAACCGCGCTCGGGATTGCGAAAGCGCTTAAGTACTTGCATTGTTGTTTTTCGCCTAGTATTGTAGTTGGTGAAATTTCAGCTCAGAAAATCATGGTGGATGAAAAAAATGAAGCACATTTGAGATTAAGTCTTCATGGGATGAATCATTGTTCAGACAACAAGTGTTTCGACTCCTCCTCCGCCTACGTTGCTCCAGGTAATAATAATAATAATAATAATAATTTACACAAACTAATTTTTTTTTTTAATTTATTTATTTAAAATAAAGTCCCCTAATAAGTATCCATGCATTATAAGTTCAATCAAGAAAATGATTAATATTGAAAAATCACTTTCTTGTTGCAAGTACAAATATAGATGTTTCACTTTATCAGTAGGGTAAAATTACTCTTTTTCTTTTACAAGTAATCATGTCCCATGCACGTATAATATTAAAAAAAAAAAAAAAATTAATTTTAATTTTTTTTTTTTGTAGAAACTAAAGGATCAAAAGTGTTGACAGAAAAGAGTGATATATATGGATTTGGGATTGTGTTAATTGAACTAGTGACCGGAAAATCTGCGGGCGGAGATGCCGAATTAGGTATGCATGAAAGCATTGTTGAATGGGCAAGATACTGCTACTCTGATTGTCATGTTGAAATGTGGATTGATGATAATATAATCAAGGATGATAATAATCAAGGTGTGATTGATTATAATCAGAACCAGGTCGTCGAGACCATGAATCTTGCGCTGCAATGCACCGCAGGTGATCCGGCTGCCAGGCCTTGTGCGGTTGATTTAGTCAACAATTTGGAATCAATTGTTAGATCCAGTTCTTGTGTTTTTTCAGGGTTTAAGCTTCTTTTCTCTTAATAGTTATTAATTAGTAGTATTTGATTTTCTTTTTCTTACTGTGTTGAATTTTGTTTGCTTTTTTTTTTTAATTTCTTGAATTTAGTTTATGTTTTTTTGTTTTTTGTGTAAGATTAGTGGTTTGGTTGATGTTGTGATGGCATGCTACTGAGTGTATATATAATTGTAGATGGTTTGAAGTTTCAATTGTTATTAACTAAATTCCCTTGAAAATTTATTACTTTTATTTATTTTGATATGTTTATAACTTCATTAAATAATGCACAGAAAATTAATGATGCATGCTTATTAAGGCATTTCAATAATTAATGAAATATATATCAGTAATATTCAAATATACCATGTATACATCAACAACCTTAAACTACATCAAAATAATCTAATTAAATTAAGAAATTCAAAAGCTTGAGGTCTACTTACTAATTAGTGACAGTTTCCAACATTACATTATAAGCAATTATTGGAAATAAAACTATATTGTAGTGAATTTTTAATATGAATAAAAATTAATTAGGTTTACAAAAAAAAAAAAAAAAAAAAAAAAAGGAAAAAGGTGAATTGAAGGGTCCTGATCAACAGTTGGGGTCAACAACTAAAAACCGAAAGAAAATTCCAATTGCTTAAGGGGACCATTTTTATTTTGGTACCAATTATTATTCTCAATGCTCAGATCATAAAGATCACCATCATATATAAACACACACACACACACACACACACACACTTTTAAGTAGAAACCAAGCTCGGCCACAACCTTTATAATGGTGCCCACTTTTTCTTTGCATTTTAATCATTGTGCTTCACATTTTTATTTTTATTTTTATTTTAATATATATAATCCCATTACTTAATAATTTGTTTATTTATGTGACTATTGTAGTAATGCATAAGAAGTAGAAGATTCTGTCCATAAAAGAAGAGTCTAAACATAAAAATATAAATCAAACAGCTAAGATTTGCTGTCATTGAAATTTAAATATATTTAATTAAGTTATCATATCTCAAAAGATTAAAAACTTTCATCATAACTTATAACTTCTTGAAGACCATGCAAAAGAGCTTCAATTCGTTTACTCTTCTTTTTTTCAATTTCCGTTGAATTTATTTAATTAAAGCCCCTTTTACTCTCAATATTTATATTGAAAAATAAATAAAAGTAAATCATGTGATGATGATGATAATGGTGATTGTGCGTTCACACGTGCAAGCCATGTATAATTTTGGATTCTCCATGCATAGTACTACCCACTCCAATTCAACAAGTCATTTCTCGTTATGATTACACTTTTGTTTTTGGATTTCCAGTTGACCAATGCACTTGTTACAATTTATCTTAAATTTTAAGTTAGTAATATATATAATAATGTTCTTTTTATTGGAATTGAATTAAAGATCATGTCAGACGAATAAATACCAAGTTAATTAATTAAAAGATTTTTTATTTTTTTTTGGTTATTAATTACATTTAGCAGAGTTGATGGTGAGCATTGACATGCATGAATTATTAGACCAAAAGCATATATATATATATGTGTGTGTGTGTGTGTGTGTGAAGAAAGTGTATATATATATGATTTCAAGAATCTTTTGTCTGGGAAGATTTACACAGCTTCTGGGCTAGCTGCATATTTTTACTTTATTCAGAGATTCAACAGAAACAACCTTTTTGTCGTCCCAACAAATTATCACATTCTTCATTATTATTAAGATACTAATTAATGAGGATATATGTTTATACAAGAAATCTCTTTACTTTGTTCTCAATTTTGTCCTCCATAATCTCTCTCTTTTGATCTTATATATGTTAATTAGTGTTAGTTTTATACTGCACCTCAAGGCGTTCAGCTTACTTGATCAGCTCCTTCATTTCTTGCCACGTGGACTGATCTTTCCAGCTCATCTCCACTTAATTAGTTGATCAAAATTATGTATTATTCAACATATTTTATATATATATATATATATATATATATATATATATATATATGATGCTAAAATATAGCTCACCTAAGGGGTATGGAAAAATGAGTTGGGAGAGCAAAGCGGATCAGTAGCTCGACAACTCGATGATCCTGAGGTCCCTACAAAATAAGCACACGTGAACTAAGCCGGGGGTTGATCCGGCGGAAACCCCTCCGACGCTCAAGTCAGATGTACGGATCGTAGAGAGAATAGAGAGAATAAACTCGTGGTGGATTATCAATAATGAGAACGTCCCTTTACAAATGAATAAAACTTCTATTTATATGTCGTTGATTGAGTTGGGCTTATTTTGTTGGGCCCAAGCCTTACTTTGAAGGTGCTTGGGTTTTCGTGTAATGGGCCCGAATACTTTCGTGTATTGGGCCTAATTATTAAATAAATTGGGGTCCATTGGGTCGGCCCAATTAGGTATATCATTAAGCCCCCCAACTCTCGATTCGAGACGGAGACTTGTGTAGAGGGACCCGGGTCGTGTCGAGAGTTAATTGCGTCGAATTGTTTCCGTTGGTGGTGAATTAATTCCTTAATTTGAATAAGGAATAATTGTATTTATTTGGCAGCGAGGTATATATTTAAGGGTTTTAAATAATATACCAGGGGCCAAATAAATATACTCCTTTTGTGGTGGAAAGAATTTACTTCAACTCTTGCGTAATAGATATGGGTTGGTGACCTTTTCCTCCATCTCGGATGAGGACCGCGCTGATGGCATCAGCCGAGGTAGCTAAGTACAGCATGAGTGTGTCTCCCGGCTGAGGTTTTGTGAGCAAGGGTGGTGAAGCGAGGTATGACTTTAGCTCAGTGAAGGCTTTTTGACATGCCTCATCCCACTCGAACTTTTTTCCTCCCCTTAAAATCTTGAAAAATGGGAGAGCTTTGTCCGCTGATCTTGAAATGAATCTATTCAGGGATGCCAAACATCCGTTGAGTTGTTGAATTTTCTTGATCGATGTTGGCGGAGCCATGGAGGTGATTGCTTCGATTTTAGCGGGATTAGCTTCGATTCCTCGCTGCGAAATCATATAACCCAAAAATTTGCCTCCCCTAACTCCGAATGAACATTTGAGGGGGTTGAGCTTCATCTTATATTTTCGCAGGGTGGCGAAACACTGATCCAGATCAGTTAGGTGGTCCGAGACCTTGACACTTTTGACGAGCATGTCGTCGATATACACCTCCATATTTTTACCGATCTGATCTGCGAACATTTTGTTCACTAGACGCTGGTAGGTGGCTCCTGCGTTTTTTAACCCGAAGGGCATGACTTGATAGCAGTAGATGCCTTGGTCAGTGATGAAACTAGCCCTCTCTTGATCTTCTGGTGCCAGTAAGATCTGGTTATATCCTTGGTATGCATCGAGGAAGCTGAGGAGTTCGCACCCCGAGGTCGAATCGATGAGCTGATCGATTCTGGGTAGAGGAAATGGATCCTTAGGACAGGCTTTGTTGAGGTCAGTGAAGTCTACGCATAATCTCCATTTTCCTCCGGGTTTGGGAACGAGCACTACGTTCGATAACCATTCAGGATACTGAACTGGTCGTATATGACCCGCCTCTAGAAGTTTAGCCACTTCTGCCTTGATATGCTTGTTGCGTTCGGGTCCAAACGTTCGTTTCCTCTGTTTGACTGGCTTCATCCTCTTGTCGACGTTAAGTCGATGTAGGGCTACCTGAGGGGGAATGCCCGACAAATCTTGGGCTTTCCATGCGAACACATCTCCATTGTGTCGCAGGAAGTTGATTAGCTGCTGCTCCGTCTCAGGATCTAAATCAGATCCGATGCGTAGGAGTTTGGAATCATCTCCAGGTGTGAGCTCTATGAGCTTAAGCTCTTCGACAGCCGCTAGCTTGATGCTATCGTCTGGTACACTGATGAGGATTTCTTTATTGTCCTCAATGATTGCATTGACCCACTTCCGTTTGTCGGATTTTTGGGTATCGTCTCCCTTTCCGGGCGGTTTAGGCTTCTTTGAGGGTTCTCGTAGGGCCCTTGCATAGCATTCTCGAGCGAGACGTCTATCTCCAAGCACTTCTCCCATTCCATAGGGAGTAGGGAACTTCCATTTCTGATGGTAGGAGGAAGGTACTGACTTGAATGTGTGGATGGCTGGCCTCCCCAGAATGATGTTGTAGGGTGATGGCCTGTCGACGACGAGGAACTTGATTAGTTTCGTGATTCGACAGGGGTCTTCCCCTAAAGAAACAGGCAGCTCCACTTCTCCCATTGACAAAATGCCTTCTCCTGTGAACCCTTTCAGGGGTGTGGAGATGAGACTAAAACGGGCATTATCTATGCCTAGCTGCTTAAAAGCATGGAGGTACATGATGTCAGCTGAGCTCCCACCATCTACTAATATTTTCTTGACCAAGAAGTTGGCCACCGTTGTTGTTACCACTAATGCGTCGACATGGTCTTCCTCTGGACCTTCAAGGTCGGAGGAGTTGAAGACTATGCTGTGATCAGGTCTTCGTATTTGATATACGCGTTCGGATGGAGAAGCGCGTTCTTGATTCATGCGCGCTGATCGAGCGAGTGTGCGTCTTGCATTATGTGAATTGCCTCCCGCCGGTCCTCCGGAGATGAAGGAGATGATTCCTCGGGTAGGCTGATTATCATTGTTATCTAGGTCACGTCGGTGACCCCCATCTTCTCGTCTTTGTTGTTGATCTCGGTTATTATCTCGGCGTGGAGGATCATCACGGCGTTTATTTCGCGGCTTATCGACGTATTCGCCTAAATGGCCCTGTTTGATCAGCCTCTCAATCGCCATTTTAAGTTGTGCACACTCTTCCGTAGTATGCCCTCTGTCCTTATGGAATCGACAATAACGATCCGATTTTTCTCGCTTTGCGTTTGGCTGCATAGGACGTGGAGGTTCTGCTAAACCTTTCTGCTCTATCACGTGAAGGATTTCCGTGAGGCGAGTGTTCAGCGGAGTGAACCTATTGTAGGAGGAAGAGGGTTGGCCTTGAGGTGGTAGTGGTGGACGTCGATCGTCGCGCCTCCTATTGTCCTGACGGTCGTCTTCCCTTTTTCTTTTAGGAGGAGCATGGGTAGAGGCTTCCTCTATCCGGACGTATTTTTCGGCTCGATTCAGCAACTCTTCTAGGTTGCCTGGAGGTCTTCCGGCGATAGATTCTTTGAATCTACTCGGTTTCAAGTTCTGCTGCATGATCCCGGAGAGCATGTCTTGTCCTACACTGGGGACCTCGTGGACGGCTTCTACGAAACGCTTAATGTAGTTGCGGAGCGTCTCGTTATCTCTCTGTACTATAGAGAAAAGATGAGCTGGAGTCTTGGCATATTGTTTGTTGATGGCGAATTGGTTGGTGAAGCGGGTTGACAACCGAGCGAAGGTGTCAATCGACCCTATGGGCAGGGAGTTGAACCAATTCATTGCCCTCTTGGAGAGAGTGGTGCGGAACATTTTTCACATCGCGGCATCCGTTGGGCCATATAAATCTGCCATGGCACTGAATTTCTCTATATGTTCCTGTGGGTCGGTGGTCCCTTCAAATTGTGGTAACCCCGAGATCTTTACCCCTTGAGGTAAAATCTCGTTGAGAATGTCTATGGTGAAGGGACTGCGTCTTGTTGGGGGAGGCATTCTTTCATCCCTTTGATTATTTGGTTGGGAGAAAAGGTTTTGGCGAGACATTCTGCTGTTTACTTCGCCTTCTCCCTCATTAAAGAGAGGGACTCTTGGTGGTGACGCATTCCCCCGTGGGGGTGAGCGTGGACGCCGCTGTCTGGGCTGTGCCCCTCTATGGTTGGTAGATAGCTGCACTCGGGACCGTGGATCTGAGGTAGAGGAGGAGACACTTATTTGATTCTGGATTGGCGGTGGCGCCACAGGTGGCGCTACAAATGGAGCTGGTGCTGGTATCGCATTGGGAGCGTTTGCTCCCATCGTAGCGATATATTGAGTCACAGCCTCTGTGGCGGCGCGAGTTGAAGCTTCCGCTATCATGCGTTGGAGCGCATCCTCGGTTATTTGAACCGTTCGAGGAGCAGGGAGAGCTGGATCGGCGAGTGGTGGGTCCCGAGGAGGGATCACCTGAACCTCGCGAGGTGGATCTGCCACACGTGGAGGAGCTGGCTCCGTGGGACGTGGGGGAAGTGGATCCGCGGGGCGTGGAGGAGGTGGTATACCCGATCCTCCACGGACTGGAAGGTTACTTGCTGTGTCATTCTCTCTCCGAGCTAACGCCTCAGGAGGATCTTGTTGGCTACGTGATCTGGTTTGCATCGTTCCCACAGACGGCGCCAAAATGATGAAGCTAAAGAATAGCACACCTAGGGTAGTATAGAAAAGAGCTGGGAGAGCAAAGCGAATCAGTAGCTTGATAACTTGATGCTCCTGAGGTCCCTGCGAAAAGAGCACACGTGAACTAAGCCGGGGGTTGATCCGGCGGAAACCCCTCCGACGCTCAAGTCTGTACGGATCGTAGAGAGAGTAGAGAGAATAAACTCGTGGTGGATTATCAGTTAAAAAATGAGAACGTACCTTTACGAATGAATAAACCATCTATTTATATATCGTTAAATGGGTTGGGCTTACTTTGTTGGGCTCAAGCCTTATTTTGAAGGAGCTTGGGCTTTCGTGTAATGGGCCCACATGTATGTGATTGGGCGTTCTTGCAATGGGCCTAATTGGTAGATAAATTTGAGGGCCCATTGGGCCGGCCCATTTAGGTATATCAATATATAATGTGTGTGAGAGAGAGAGAGAGCCGACATATGGTTTGGTAGTGTTACTTTCTTTTTCATTGTGCAAGCATGCCTATGTATCTATGAGCCAATCACACAACTATACTTTAATTAAAACAATAAAAAAGATCACATGCCAAAGTATTAAGCCCCAATTACTTATAAGTCATAATTAAGTCAAAAATTGTGTTTAGTTGGGGGGACAAAATGGAATGACTTATAAGTACATAACCTAACTCAACCTCAAAGAACAAAATGCGATTTTGCTGTCCAAACCCACTTTTTTTGGTTACATAATATTTGTGTTATATCAATAAAGGGCCTTTAGGATATTTCACAACTTTTGACCACTACTCAAATCACACACCATCTACATAAGAAAATAATCAATCATATCTTCATTTCTTGAAATTGGTGTTATAACTTTCAATCTTAATCCAACGAAGATGTCTGAAGCTGAACTGAATCGAACCGAACCGAAACATATAAAACAACATACGTTTTGTATAATATATGATTGGGGCTAGTTTGGCATAATGGACGGAGTTGAGACACAGTTAAGTTATTGGATCAACTTGTTATGTTCTTTATTGTATCAAACTCGTGTCAAAAGTTCGGTTATCGATCTTCATGTGTATTTGCGAATTTATGAACATCATGAATATATATTTTATGTATGTAACTTATAGCATATACTATTTAGGCACCCAAATTGACACCACTCCGAGGATTCAATTTTCAGTCACTTCACTTTACAACCAAGCATAAACTAATATGTTGACAGCTAATTAATTAATTAATTAGCAAAAATAGTTATTATGTAGGTCCATATATGTAAATAAAATAGTAGGGTGAAAGACAAATGCTCTTATGTTTCCATCACAAGTTGTTTCTCCTCATTCAAGAAAAAAGTAAAAGAAAAAAGGAAAAGAAAAAGCAATTATTCCATAATGGAGGGGTCACTTTGAAAATTTTGAGCAATAGAAATCAGACACCGTTTAGCAAAAGTGATTGATCTGCTTGCCCAAATTAAGTTGTTCAAAATCAACATGACATCTTCTAACAATGACAAACTTAGCCATTTTTAGGCATATTTCTTTTTCTTATTTACCTAAAATAAATTGATATTAGAGAGACAAACACCCCGGTTTCATCCCTCAAGTTTGTACCGATTTCACATTTGGTCCCCATGTTAACAGAAAACACATTTGGTCTCTTATGTTTTAAAAATTCAACACTTTTAGTTATTTACGTCAATTTCCCGTTAAAACTAACGGAATCAAGCGTGTGTCCATCACTGAACGGACTAACTGTAAATTGACGGAAATGACCAAAAGTGTTAAATTATTGAAACATGAGGGACCAAATGTGTTTTTCGTGAAAATGGAGGACCAAATGTGAAATCGATATAAACTTGAGGGATAAAAACTGTATTTTCCGCGAAACACCCCATTGATCAACACAGTTTCTAGGGTTTTCCGCGAAACACCCCATTGATCAACACAGTTTCTAGGGTTTTCTGTGAGAGTGTTTTGCCGCGAGTGTGTGTGGTCTTGTAATCGATTCCAAGCTCCATTGCTCGATCAATAAAACGTGTTCTTGCTGTTCGGACACAGTCGAGCTGATAATTTTAGTTAAATAAACATAGAATTATACAAAGAGTGAGAAAAAAAAACAGTTGTTTAGCATAAATTAAGGATAATTAACTTAGAAATTCAGACACAGTACAAAGTAAAGAGAAATGAAGACAGTGGTCAATTCATACAAAAAAGAGGTCAAAATATGATGTTTTAATTTAGGTTTAATTTATCTGGAAATTCTTTCTTCTTAATTCAAACAAAAGACCAATTGCTAAACATGAAGCAGAGGCAGTGTACATCTTCATCTTCGTTCATCACCTTCCAGGCGACTGCTCTCTCGTACGAAATCGGTCTCCCCATACTCGACATGCACACTCCGCCTTCCAAATACCCAAAACCCTAACCGGCAAAAAATAATAAATATATAAAATTATAAAGTCATGAAATTAATTTTGCAATTAGAGGTGTTGAAAATTTGTGTATATATATAATATACCTGCTGCATGATCTGTGGGAGCTCGGCAAATAGTGTCTTTCTTCCGTTGTCGTTGAATATTTTCTCGAGCGTGATGTCCTGAAGTGCAATTAAGGTTGTCTCGAGCATATCGAGCCCTGCCTGATTTGCGAACGTGAAAACCGGCAATTCCTACATTTTTAATAAGAACGAAAAACAATGTTAATGAATTCAAAATCGATGATTTTAATGTATAGAGAAAAAAAATCAGAGTCGATATAAATCATTTAGGGTTTACCTTTAATGAACAACAGAGCACAGCATCGGAGTGTTGCCAAAGTGTTTTAAGAAGAGAATCGCTTTCTTCAGCTACGGTTTTCAGTAGATCCACACCCAAGAAAAATCTGCAACATAAATAAATAAAAATTAATAAAATAAAATAAGATTTTGCGAATTAATGTGTAATTAGGAAAATTGTAGCTAAGAAAGAATCGAACAGTACCTATAGCTTTGGCAGATCCAACGGGCGAGAGTCTGCCCTTCAGGAGCACTATGTTGAGGCCTTAAGCTAACGTGAGAACCAATCGGAGAAGGGGAAAGTGCTAACGCCACTCTCTGAACAGACGAAATAATGCTTCGTACGTATTGCCTAGCCATAACAGCCACACTTTCTTGAAGATGAATCTCGAATGCAAATTGAAATGCTATTGTCATCACCGATTTTACGGATCCATTATTCCTATCGCCACACTGTTTGTTGTTCGGTCCGACTTCGAGTGTCGATGCTAGGTCCAACGTTCGATTTGGACTAGATGCATCCTGTTAAAAATCGAAATAATATCAGCACGTAATGAATAAATAAATAAATAAATAAATAAATAGTGGATTGTAATTATTGATTTAAGACAAGAGACATACTGATTTTGAATCGAGAGGAATAATACGAAAACCGGATGGAAGAAGGGGTGCGTCGTCGGAAAAAGAAGCGTCTATCGGAGCAAATATAAGCTCGGCACATGTGCCCATGGCATTTTCATCCACCCCATTACACACCTGATCAAATCATCATGTATAAAGATTAAGGAACCTAATAAATCGCCTCGTTTTTTTTTACGAAAATACCCAAATTACCCTTTACAAACCGTGACGAAAACCCAAATTTTAACAATCAAATGATATATGGCAAATTTTGGCTTGATATAATAACTCACTTGCAAGAGGAAGATATCGCTAGGCATAATTACGTCGTCTCGATACTGAGCCATATTTTCCAGCCTAATCACTTCCATGAACTGTTTATTAATAAGAAAAAAAATAATAATAATAATAATAAGAGAAGGTACAAAATAATTGAAATCGATACAATTTATGGGAGAAAATATCAGAAAAATAAATACTAATATTAAATTAGATTGTCACCTCTTCATTCTCAATAGTTTGAGACAAGGGAAGAATAACCTGCCCACCGAAACATCCACCTCGAGAAACGGGCAAACTAGACGGGCCCGCTTTGACAGCAGCGGCGGCATAAGCATCTACACCGCTGTCGGCCCACTCCGATCGGTGCTCCCTTAGAAACCTCAACAGTATAGCCGGAGGAACATTCTGCCAACCCAAAATAAAATTGATGAGTAATTATTTGGATATTAAATTATGTTGAGATATTAAAAATTAATTAAAACTCGATCGATATTCGTACTTTCAACAACATGGATGCTTTAGCACACAGCACGGCATTGCTCATAGAAGGAAATCCGTTTGCGTAGGTTTGAATAGTTCCCATTAATTTTCCCGGAGAAGTGTTCACGTGAACGGTGACATCATCGATGCCGTCACTTTCTATCATTGACCAGCCCTCGTCTGCGAACCCATTTACAGCCTCGTTGAAGCCTCTGCATTTTACGATTGGATAAAATTATTAAGACACACTAAATTAAACTGCATGCATGCGGAGAAAAATATTGAAATAAGAAAATAAAAATAATTAACCTGCTCAATCTTTGACCGAGGGCCCGCAAAGCTGCGGGTCTTCTCCCCCAACCAGTCACATTAGGCTGAGTAATTTCTAGAGAGATTTGCCTGAGCTGGCGCAAAGCCTGAATATATATATATTTTTTAAATCATTATAAAATACAATTAATCCAATCTATCGACGGGGATATTATTTAATATAAGTTTTTTTTTACCGCTAATGTTGTCCTCTGAGAGAGAAGCATTGATGATTCGTATAGTGGGCGTAACACTTCGGGCACACTCCAAGGCTGACCGGAAAACAATTAATTTAAAAAAAAATTAAAAAAATATTGCTTGATAAAATCAAGAACCAAACAAGTGTTGATGATATATACCTCTAAATCAATGTGATCAACGATATGAATAATCGAACCACCGCCTTCGCAAGGTCTAACTAGGTATCCACTTGGAAGCATTTCTGCTCGTACGAAATTCTGCACAGGTGGCATGCTGGGACCGTTCTGAGTATTGTTCAGTGATCTTTCACATACCTATAAATAAAACTTTGTAATAAACAAAAATAGTACACGTATGCGTTTTATTTTGCGACGAGTAATTAAAAAGATTTAGTAGGTACCACAAGGCTGCCATCCTCCATAACAGAAGTGTAGCGTAGTAACCAAAAGTCACGAGCGGGAGCTAAAGTAGTCGGCGCATATAGCTGAATCGATTGTTAAATAAAATATTTTTTAGTTAAGAATATAATTAATAAAAATTAAATGTGAAATAGAAATTAAAAAAAAAAATATTAAAAAATTGACCTGCATGTAAAGCAATTCAATAGTTCCACCATTCCCAGTCGACAAGACATTCAGAACATCCACAGCTCGGCAATCACGGTACCATGAAGGCCGATCTTTAAGGATTTCGGCAACCTATTTTAGTGCCAATTTTTAATTTTTAAATTAATTCAATTAAAATAAAAATGCTCAGCTAAAAAAAAAATTAAATAAATGAATAAGAACTCACTCTTGTAGGTTCTAATCCCACGAGGCCGCATGCACGTGATGCAACACCAGTGCAGCCATGTGAAATTGCAATGATTCCAATGGAATCCGGACCAGGCTGCCAAGTGAAAATAATCGGAGAATTTAAAAAAAAAAATTAAATCATAAAAAAAAGTCGGAAATTCCACTTTTATTTTATAAATTCCACTATTAAAATTGATATCGAAAAAAAAAAAAAAAAAAAAAAAAGAGGGGTTAAATTATTACCTTCATCCCAGGCATTTGGACCCACTCCACAGCAGTTCCAGTAGCCTTAGATAGAAACTCTGTTAAAGTTTCCTCTGCAATGGACAAAAGTCTACAATAGATACAAGAAGCGCAATTCATAAGTTAACGAAGATAACAAATAATAAATTCATAATAATAATTTACAAAATAATGAACAAGACGCGTAATTCTCACCCTGCAGGACTTGCATCCCTCGGAGGATTTTGAGGAGTCAAGTGGTGTTGACCACTTGTTACCACCGATTCACAACTATTATCGGTTGAGGCTAGCGTTGTCTGAAAATCAGAAAAACGACAAAAATTATCAAATACTCTAATCGGACAAAAAAGATCCAAAAACATGATCAAGACAGCATTTTTTTTGTTTCTAACTTTGTTTTAACACACGAGTATCATATGAAACGAGAAAACGAGAAAAGGGCAAATATAATTCGATTACATTTTGAGTCTGTTGTCGGAAATAACTGTTCTCGTACACCAAATGAGAAACTTGCTTCTGCAAACGATCGTTTTCCTCCATCAACAACTTATTCATCGCACTCAGCTTCCTGTTCACAGCTTGAAGGCGCGACGCCTCTTTCCTCTGTTTTTCCCTGCATCTGTTTTCCAATACAACATAGTGAAATTACGATAAAATTAAAATCCGTAAAACCACGACAAAATATTGAGGCATAATATTATTATACATACCTTCGGTTTTGAAACCAAACTTTGATCTGCTTAGGCTCGATGTTGGAGAGGATGGGGCATTCTCGAATAAGTTGCTGCCTTCGAAGCGAACTCGGTTTAGGACAATCATGGTACAACCTTTCTAAAGCCTCAACCTGCTCCGGTGTGTACCTCACATACTTGCCATTGTCTAACCCCATTTTCGAACTGTCTTTGCACGATGATGTCACCGCCATCATAACTTCAAGAAAATCGATAGATTCTTTCAGAAAATTTACCCCCAAATTTTTTTTTCAATTTTTTAAGGGCACCTATATTTTGCACAATAATCGGACAATTGTTCAGATTAAAACACAAATCTGCAGTATTTCCTATACATTTCCAAGGTACTGTCTTGATTCACAAATACCCCAACTAGTTGTAAATTTATAAAGAAACTAACAAAAAAAAAGCAAGCCCACTTAAAATTACTAAAATTTTCTTCTTTGCAGCTTAGTTAAGGATGCAATAAATGAAGAAAGTAGACTTCTTTCTTCAAATTGAACCACATCCCCAATTCCATCTATGTGTGTGTGTGTGTGTGTGTGTTTGTATGAACCCTAATCACAGAAAGTTGTGAACTTTCTTCCACAAATCCTCATAAAATCAGAAATAGACGGCAGCCCAGATAAGAAAAGGCAGCTATTCGGTGCCGTATACGTGTGGATCTGAATATAAACACTCACATGCAGACAACATTTATACATACATATATATATATATAATTATATATTGCAAATAAGCATGTGTCTTTTCAAGAAGTAGAATAAAAAGAATAAGTTAATTGTTTTGAGTGAAGCTTGTGTCTGAAGCGTCTTGAAACTTCCACTAGCAGAACTCTTCAAAATTCAAGAAACTCACACATGCACGCACGCACGCGCGCACAATTAGAAACACACAAAGCATACGTATGAGTTTGTGGTGCTACCTGTTTGAAGAGCAAACGGTGTCGTCTTGTTTCTTCAGAAGCACACAGCAGCGCAAAGCACTATACACAGATCTCCCATAATCACCGTTTTCCGTCCCCCCACCCCTGTTTATAAAATTAAAATAAAAAATAAAAAAATAATAATAATCTGGGTTTTGTTCGAGTGTGGTGGGCTGAAGTGAAAGGAAGAAGATATATATGTATATGTATATGTGTGAGTGTATCTATAATCTAGAATCTAAGGGGACAGAAGTGAGAAGTGGAGACCATTTTTTGGAGTAAATGTAAATCAGTTTGATTGTCCTTTTCCTCCTTGTTTTGCTTTCCGCTGTTGCTGTTTTCTTTTTTTCCTTTGCTCCCTTTTTTTAATTATTTTATTTTTATTAATTAATAATTCTTTTTTCTGTGTACAACTTTTTTAATTAGTCACAAGAAAATTTAACTGATAAAAGCCAACGTTATATATATATTAAATGATTTATTTTTATATCATTTAGAATGAATACTGTGTCTAGATAAGATACAAAAATTACAAGAGTCCTCTTAGCACTTTTAAACTGATAATGTCTTAAATGGGTAAATTACGGTCAGATGTAAGGTGAAATTACGAAAAAATCTCTCATTATTTGGGTAATTACAACCACACCTCCTCTATGAATTCAGTCGAATCTTCTACTAAACGTAGAATATCCTCCATTTCGTACATCTTTTATCCCGTTCGAACTCCACATTTTGAAAAGGACGGTCATAAGATGTGTCTATCGATTTGTGAATATAAGATTGTGGTGCATAAGAAACTGCATTGCACAATACGAGTACAAACTAGAGAACATTCCTTGACTGTAGATGATTATGTTGAATTTCACACCATATTGGTAGAGGTGTAAGATGATTCATAGTTGAGGGTGGTTGTAATTACTCAAATATAATGAGTTTTTTCGTAATTTAACTTTACCTCAGTTGGTTGACCGTAATTTGCAAAGTTATGATTCCACTAACTCAATATCAAATAAGCTCAATTATTTAAATGCAGCAAAAACAAAGAAAAAATATCAACAAAAATGTTAATAAAATTAAATAAATAGCTTAAAGCCTAAGATATACTAGAAAAAAAGTTAATGAAGATGACATAGCACTATTGTATCGGCCTCATAAATCAATTCTCCTAATTAACAATAAAATAAATAATAATAATAATTAAAAAAAAAAAGAATAAAAAAAGCAAAAAAGAAATGTGAGCTGAGGGGTAAAATGGAAGGAAAGACAAAATAATGAAGGAAAAGAGCATGCGTCGTCGTCTGATATAAATTTTGTATGCTTTTTGTTGCATTCATCATCATTCATGCTGCTCTATATATTTAAATCATCAACCTCTACAATAGTATCTCATTATATATATAATAATAATTCATTAAAAGAATAAATTCAAGTAATTCATTAAAAATTTAAATCATTACATTCCATTTGTCTCATGACCAGAAAAAAATAACATAGTATTAATCATGATATCCCCCTGTTAATAAATGCCCTACCTTACTGCTATTGTCATTGCTCATTCAACTCTACGGATTCAACCTAGCTATCTGACAAGGGAAATTAAAATTAAATTAAATAATAAATTAAATTAAATTAAATTAAATAATCCTTAATGGGTTCTGAAATTCAAACCAGGTAATACAGATATACTAATAATATAATATGCACTAACTGTTTCAAAGCAGAAAGACTTGTTCAATAATGCAATTTTTCCATATTATTGCTCTGGTCTTCCTTAAATTCTGCCACTCAAACTTTGAATATTTGTACACACTCACTAATAAACTTTGGTTTTATTTATTGGTTGAAAATGGTGGAAGACCAATTGTGTTGAATTTTTTTACCATTTCTTTAAATGATGAAACATTAGTGAAAATTAATAAACAGTTAATTAGTTATTATCTGCTGTACTCAACCATGAAAATTTGAAAAGGAAGAACCGGAAAAAATTAAAAAAAAAATAATCTGGGTGCAGACACGTGCCCCAGAAACCTGTCTGGCTTGTGCTGAACGGGAGCAGACCGAATCTGAGTGTGGCCCCACACTTCTGGGAGTGTGGCCCGCACGCGTGAAAGATTGGGTTGTAACTTTATATCGTGCTCCACGCCCCATTTTATTACATCTTTTTTTTTTTTTTCTTTCTCTTATTTATTTCTCACGCTAACGCTACTATACCCCATTCATTCCTTTTGTCAAAGGCTAAAGTTTCCCGGTTTTATAGCCCACTCGCTGCTTCTAGAAGCGTGATAACGCGTGTGCCACACTCGATATAACTTTTGTTGTAAAAACATTTATTGGTCTATGAGTCTATCTATTATCAGTAGTAAAGTACACATTTAAAATTAACACACATGAAGAAACTCTACAAACGTTAAAAATGTAGTGCAGTATTAAAATATTCTTAATCATAAACTATTACGACAAAATTTTAATTTTAATACGCAACTAAAAATAGAAATAAATAACATACAACTAATTAAATCAGGTTTCAGTGACAAAATCCGACGGATGGGACGTGAAAATTAAAGTATGAGAGATTATAGTCACAGACAGACGAGATACGGTTTATGTACGAGTAGACATATTATGAAATTATTATTACATACAAAAGAGAAAAAGGAATTCCACGCGTAAAATAGTGAGTGGAAGCACGAAAAGACGTTTGTCAGTGGGCCGGCTCGGGCGTGAGCCGACAGCTTGTAACTGGGGCCCACTAAAGCGGCGCGAAGAAAGAGATACAGAGGCCCATTAATTGTTCAACAATTTTTTTATTGGCTGATCAGAAGAATATTCGGCGGCGCTTCCTTTTTCTTTATTCTAATTTGTACGGGATGATTTATTGATTTCTTATACAACGAAATTAGTATTTAAGAAGATTTTTTTTTAATTTTTTAATTTTTAATTTTCTGATATATTCTGAAGATAAAGAAATACTCCATCTGTAGTCTGTAGAGGGTGGTCCAGCAATATCAGTTCATATGATGGTTTGGGCCCAATACACAAGTTTTGAACCTTATTTATTGTCTTCTTCTATTGTTAATTGGTCTTACTTCTTTTAATTATAAAATTGGTAGGTGGGATTGGAGAACCATACAAAAGAAATATGCATTTTATGATGTATTTTTTTTAAAAGATAAAAAAGAAAAAGAAATCGTAGGTAGATAATTTTTTTATTTTTTTTAAATGAGGTAGATAAATACTTTATCAATAATATTTTATGACAATCAGTGAAAATGTAATAATGCGTATGGTTCGTTTATTATATATTTGCTTATTGAACTTCTAATTTTACCATTTCCAAAAAAAAAAAAAAAAAAAAAAAAATGGGCAAAGAAATCAAAGAGAGAATAAAGCCCAAAGAAGGAAAGGAAAAGTGAAAGCCCAAATGTTGTATCCATTTTTTCACGCAGATTATCTACCCATGAACAAAATTCTTTTTCGTGAGACAAGCCTTACATTCCTACTAAAGAGAAATTGAAAATCTGGAGATTAATTAAAAAAAGAAAAGTGCCCGGAAAAAGAATGCGTACTTGTTATCGGGCGGCAGAGCAATATATCGAAGAAGTATGCTTCTTTTACATTCTAACCACTTCAAACCTGGGAGGAATTGATTCATTAAGGGATAGACGTTGGAGTTCGAAAATCATACCTGGTCTAAATAATCGACATGCAGTGCTCTATTGCTTACCTATTTAATATGGATATGATCAATGAGCTGTTTATCAAGCTCAAAATGCCGGCAAAGAAGTTTCTGCAGATCAGCAAATCAGAACACTCCATTAACAGTTAAGAATTTAAATATAGTAACAATTACGAAATATGAATGGTAACACTGTTGACCTTAGATACAGGAGAATCGAAAAAATTCGCTTCGTAATCCGTATCAGGTAAGCGCGAGATAGCAGCTCCATCATGAAACAATATATAAGCTGGAAGTTGGTGAAGGCTTCCTGTGTGTGTACGACACATCAGTCATCAATGGGCATAATGTACGACATAAGATATTTCAAGAAAGCAATAGAAGGGCTCCCCGTACCGAGGGTGACTCCAAACTTCTCAGCAGCATTCGGAAACAGTCCAAGATCGATTGTTCCAAAGGATAAATTTTTGTTTGAGAATCTGCAGAAGAAGAAACCGGAAGTATGAAAAGCTTTGAAAGGATAATGCAACAAACAAACATCACAAATGAATTAATAAGTTTATGACAAAAGGTCGAGAGTACAATAAAAAAATGACAAGCATGAGAGAATAGGGGATGCTAAACACTCACGTAATCGAGAGTTCCGGGAAAAAAGAACTTGCTCGTATGCAACTGGACATGGACAAAGAACGAAATTCCACCTGCCGAAAAATAGTTGATTGAGGAACCATTGTAATTAGCTACACTTCGCATTATGCTTGTCTAACAGATGCTGTTAATAAGTACTAAGAGAAAGTCTACACACCAACCATCCAGAATCTTGATGTGTTCCCTTCTGTAAGCAATGTTTCTAACTGGAGCGGTGTCAATTGGCTAGTTGTACCTAAATTAGTTGAATTCAAAATAGACATAAAAAATTAGACAAAAGATCAGTATTAAAAATAATGAACGATATGCAATATATATTCACCAGTTAGATATAGAATACATAAGGAAATTTAATTGAAACAGTGTAACCATCTTTGTACCTAGTCCTCCATATGCAGGTTGTTCGGCGATGATGTATATAACTGCCAGGCAGAAGCAAAATAAATACATTAAGAACTAAGAATATTTATACACATTCACATATTCACTTGCCCAGTTAACTAAAAACTGTAAATCTGTGACAATACGATTTATGACTCTATATTTTGAAACTTTTCATTTGGAATTATCATTTACACTGTTTTAACTCGTATGGAATAATTGTTATCGTGTATTCCACTGTAAACTACTACAAACTAAATTCAGATTAAATAAATTACATAATATAAGATAAATACAAAGCTGCAATTATGAAGTCGGGGCAGAGGTAAGGCAAAGAAAACACCACTGTGCAAGACATACCCAAAAATGCTAGTGCATACCACAAAGCCAAGTGATAATCCATGACCAAAGCTATAGCAGCAAGGAAAATCTGGAAAAAAGAATCCAAGTTAAGATATATACTTCTTTAAGACTAAGGAAACAAAATCAGGCATATGACGAACGGAGTTGAAAGTTATATCCCATTTGAATATTACGACACTAGTTTTGGAAATTCTCTCCCATAGCACGATTGTTTCAAACTTTTCAAAAAGCCCTCTCCCTTACGAACGTTCCACTTTGCAAAGACTGAATAACAGATACGAGAATAAATATGGAAGGTATGCAAAGTTCATTTGCAAATATTTGCGATTCCTATCTCCTGTATTTAATAAGCATTCAATTTTCAATAGCACCGCATTTTCGTACAATCTAAACCTAAATGCTAACTATGCATTTTCTTCAAAAAACAGCAAACTGTGTACCTTTGCATGAAATAAGGTATCGGATATAAAAGCCTCCCATGATTCACTTCTTGTCACCTGCAAGTTAGCATCGAGAAAACACGATACCGGATTAGGAACCACGGCTTCCAGCAAAGTATAAACGACAACACAATCAATGTACTCCGAAGTAATTCAAAGCTGTTTAATGTGATAACATCACACAATATAAAATAAATGCATTGCAAACAGATGAACTAAAGGAAAATTAAATTCATGTTTAATTAACTATGCGCATAGCGAAATCAATACGATTCTTCAGTAATAATTAAGATAATCAAACAATTCGATCACAGTTATATTAAAATAAAAACTAAAAATTAAAAAAATTCCCATACCTTAATAGCGGCTAAAACACAAAAAGCAAGCAGCGCTTGTGTCTCCTACAGCAAACAAACCAAATCGATAACTCAGAAACAACGCTAATAAATTGATTTAACAGAACAATCAACTAATTTAAAAAATACAGGAAAAAAAATAAAACAGGAAATCATGAATTACTCGGTGAAGAAGATGAGCTGATCGGAGAGGGGAGAGGATGTTGGCGGCGGAGCATCGTAGGGGAATGTAGGAGAAGAACAGTAGAAAGTGGAGCAAGTAGTACGGCTCGGAAACCATACGGTTCATCCAGTTCATTGAATTCGAATTCCTGCTGTTTGCCGACATCTCTAAATCTGCAGATCTCTGCAAAATTGGAAGTTCATTTCGTTTCCTTCAGAATTCCGATTAAAGCTTTTCTGGTATACACAATATCGGGCCCGGTCCAAATTGGGCGGGCCCGTTTAAAATGCTTTTTATATGGGCCACGGTGTAAATATGCCTTAAATGGGCTAAATTCAAAGCCCGGCCTATATATATACGCACAACCCACGGCCCACTCCTCAAGCTCAAAAAAGAAAAGAAAAAAAGTAAAGAAGATAAGAGCATCCCTTGCACGTGACATGTCACAAGGAATGACGACGCAGGTGCGGTGCATTAGACGCACGTGCTCACACGTTGCCGTGAGCTACGAATATCATTGGACAGCAGCGGCGGATACACCAATAGATGATTGCCACGTCTCATTGACTACCGGTTCGGCTTTTGGCACAAGCCTTAGGCGCTCACATGCTTTAGCTGACACACTCTCCACCCTTTGTCACGTGCAATTCGGACAGTAGACAAGATTAGTTTTCTTTAATACTATAATTAAATAATTGCACAAAGCAGAGATTCTATTGAGGTAAATGAAATAAATTACAATATACATTGTAACCTTTAAACAAAGTTACACATATCTACTAATTCATAAAAACATCGGGATTGGAGTTAAAAAAGTGGGACCCACAATTTCATCCATGTCTTAACCTTCTCCCCCACATTTCTCCACGATCTTTGGCCAAGTTTGACATGAAAATTCATTCGCCACTTCGTTTTACATCTATAACATAAAATAAGTTGATAATAATTCAATTTCAAAAACTAGATCTATAATAACAAGAATAATACTTCAATCGGCTAGCAATAGTGGTCTAATTGGTGAAGTAAGAAGACTGTACAGTATAATAAGTAATTAAATTTTCTTCGTAAATAAATAGAGTAGTTAGAAAAATTAATTGGGTGGACCATGATATAGCAATAAGAGGGTGTTTGACTAAGCTTATAAGATGTTAAAATGAGCTTATAAGATGTTTTAGAGCTTATAAGCTCTTCCAAAGGGTTTGGTAATTTTTTTACAAAATATATTAATTTGTTTCAAAATAAGCTATTGGACACCAAATAAGATCTTTTTAAAAAAATACATCTACCCCACATTTTTATTTAAGATCTTATAATGAGTAAAAATAGGAAATAAGCTCATTATTCAAACACATTAAAAATTAATCCTAAAAATAAGATGTAAGGGATAATCAGCTCTAAAAACATCTTATCAGACGTAAGAGCATATCAGCTGTTTAAAATAAGTTTAGCCTAACAGACTCTAAGTATGGTACCATTGCACTTTATGCAGTGAATAACTTGCTCACATTGTAATAAAGGGTCCGTTAAGATGACCTAGTTCTTAAGTAAAAGACCATTCTTTCAATCCTCACGTGTGGTCCACCAATCCAATCACATGTCACATGTCGTCATCATAACACATTAACACACCCATTACCAAAATTAAATGACCCAAAATCGTAATTTCACAATTATTAACTCAAATTAGGAGGAAGATTATGGAAAAATAAAAATAATAATAATTATTAGATAAAAATCCCCAAAAGGAAAAAAGAGAGTGAATGATTAAGAGCCATAATTTGTCCTAGTCAAAATCCAAAATTGTAGCCACCACAGTGTCCCCTTCAAGCGCAAATAAACCCCTCCCCTCACTTCTCTCCACAAAGAAACTTCACTCCTCTCCTCACCCAATTTTTTTTCACACACACATTCCCCACTTTACTTCTTTTCTTCTTCTTCTTCTTCTTCTTCTTCTTCTCTTTCTCTCACATCCACTTTCTCTCACTTCTTTTCAATAAAATCAATAACCTAAATTAATTGAATTAATCTCCCCCAAATGGAAACCCCCGAATTCTACCAGACAACCTACTACAACTCTCAATTCACCACCGCCGACAACAACCCCAAAAACGGCGTCGACGCTTTCATCATTGAAGACCTCCTCGACTTCCCTAACGATGACGGCATGGTGGACGCCGGCGACGATTGCGCCGCGTTGACTGGCGGCACCTCCACCGGTTCCTCTCCTACCGCCGCTCCCACCACCGCCGACAACTCCTGCAATTCATCTTTCTCCACGGCGGAACCCTACTTGCAGACCACCGCCCACGGCTTCGCCGATGACCACTTCTCTAATGAACTTTGTGTCCCTGTACGTATAATTACTTTTTATTGTATCTATAATTATACATACATACATAAGTCATGCAACTTTTATTTAGAATTGCAATGTGGAATGCATAGCATTTTCCTTCGTACGTTAAATTTGTTATAGAAATTGGGATTTTAATTAATTAATTAATTTCTGGCAAATTTATTAATATTACACAGTACGATGACTTGGCTGAGCTGGAATGGCTGTCGAATTTCGTGGACGAATCATTTTCGAGCGAGGATTTGCAGAAGATGCAGTTAATTCAAGGAATGAAGGCCGCCCGAACTACTAACGACTCGTCGGAGACCCACCAGTACCAGTTCCAGCCGCCGGAGGCGGCCCACCCCACCCCCTTGATCCCCACCGAAATGTCGGTCCCGGCGAAGGCCCGGAGCAAGCGCCCACGCGCCGCCCCTGGGAACTGGACATCCCGTCTCCTCGCCGTGTCCACCTCGCCGCCGGCGGCCTTCATCACCGCCCCCGCCATGTCGTCCTCTTCCGAATCCGACGTGGCGGTTAAGAAGTCCGGGAAGCCGGCGGCGGCGCAGCAGAAGAAGAAGGAGGCGTCCGACAGTTCCGGCAGCGGCGGCGGGGAGGGGAGGAGGTGCGTCCACTGCGCCACCGACAAGACGCCCCAGTGGAGGACCGGGCCCATGGGCCCGAAGACGCTCTGCAATGCGTGCGGTGTCAGGTACAAGTCGGGCCGGCTTGTGCCGGAGTACAGGCCGGCGTCGAGCCCGACGTTTGTGATGACGAAGCACTCGAATTCGCACCGGAAAGTAATGGAGCTGAGAAGGCAGAAAGAGATGGTGAGGGCTCAGCAGAACCAGCAGCAGCAGTTTATGCATCATCATCAGAACATGATCTTTGATGTATCCAACGGTGACGATTACTTGATCCATCAACATATTGGCCCCGATTACCGGCAGATTATTTAGTGTTAATTAAGATTAATTAGTACGGATTAGTATTAATTTTTCTTGGAGAGACCACATTGAGCCTGAGGTTTAGACAAATTTTCCCCCCTTCTTATTTTTTTTTAGTTCATTAATTTTCTAGGTTAAGTATTTATTCCTAACTCATCAAATTTTGTTCGTGTTTTTTTTTTTTTTTTAATTTACTCAATATGTAGAAAAAGAAAAAAAAATAGAAATAGGGAAAAATAGAAGATAGGGAGTAGTAATTATATATCCTTTTTTTAAAGTGTAGTTTTGCCAAAATGTGGCAAATTCTTGAACCCTTATAATTAATTTGAAGAACTCCTCATTTCTTCTCATTTTTTTCTCAGTCGCCTCGATTGAGCTGTATGTCGGAAATTCTATGCTACACCAAGTTATTTACATCGAGTGATTGTTAACCGTAGATCGTCACATAATTACACACATTTTAGTTTTGTTTTTTTCATTATTCGTTATTCGTACATAGAAATATCATAAATCCTGAAGATTTTAATGAAAATCAAATTAATTATAAGCAAATTAAACATAATACTTAGACAAAATTGGAAGTACGAGGGCGACTTCGTATATATGTGTGCTCCATGATTGGCACAACGAAATTGGTTTAATTATTGCGTCATATATATATAAAAAAATAATAATAATATTATGTAGATGGCCTACTTGTAGAGGTGAATGGAAATAATCATATTGCATGCATTTATTTCAAATTGAACTACCAATAATCCATGTCGTCGGCAGCGTCGGTAGCTTCAATAATATTAACAGACAAAAAAAATTTTAAATAAAAAATAATAATAAAATCAAATTGAATTGTGATTTTATGAATAATGTGTTTGCACGAGTTGGTCCACAGCAACAAGGTACGTGCAGAAGTGTCACATTGTTTTGTGATATTTAAAGAGCTTTTATTTAATTTCATTTCATTTATGTGCCAACCATTATATATTCTTACACTACTAAATATCCACAATATTCATTTATAGAAATATATTTATATTTATATATATTAGTATATACCATGTTATATTCTCATCTCTCATGTAACAATATTGCCAGCTGCAGCCTACAGAAGAACTATATGAGTTTTATAGATATTAATTATAAATTTATAAAAATAATGTATATTTAACATTTTGAATAAAAAAAATATAAACAATTGTGTATTCCTAAGTGTAAAAACAAATAGGCACAATTTCCACAACAAAAGAGTATATATACATACATACATGTATCTGAAGGTTGAATTTCCCATAAATAAAATTAAAAAATACAGAGAATGTTTATTTGTTATGGCATATTATTTTTATTAATCTTGAATTATTTACCTTAGATAATAAAATATATTTTTGGGATAATGTATTTACTATTTAGTCCCTTTTGTTACCTCGATTTCTGATTTGGGCAATGATATCTTTTTGCACGGAATTCTATTCAACCAACCCTAAAATTCATTGGTTCTCGAGAAAGATTATATTAAATAAACATATAAATAAAATAAAATAAAATAAAAATAAAGTGTGGGAGTCAAAATTTAGACGTGCCTACTTTCATGCACACCATGTGAGGTTCCAAATTAAACAATCCTCATTTTATTTTCATGAATTTAAAACTAGGTTTTGGTCAGTACCAATGTGGTGTCATGCATACGTCACACCTATCACTATAAATTTAATAATTGAATTTGAATATATATTATTTTTTTATTAATCCAAATGTTTATATTTAATTCATCCAACTAAATTTTGATGATGAATTCTCTTTCTATTTATCTTCCTAATAAATACAACTGCAAATTAATTATATATAGTGAATGGCTTAATATATATATATATATATATATATATATATATATATATATATATATATATATATATATATATATTAATTTTGAAGATGATGTATAGTAGGTATATTATACGTAGTATATACCCTATGTGCGATCCTAGGCATCGCTGATCCATAGGGCTTATAGCCTGTACTTTAATTAATGGAATCTTAGTTTTTATTAAAAAAAAATGTTTACTGACTAATAATGTAATTAATTAATTTACTAATGATATTGTATTGTGGTTCTCTGCAGCAAGGTTTATTTCTTAATCTGGTGTTAGCATAGCAAATGAGCTTTATTAAAATTAGAGTCACAGTGAAAGCTGAGAAGGGAGTAGTGGATCAAATAATACTTACTTTTTTTTTTTCATTATAATTATTATTTTTTGTAACATTAAATTGTTTAGGGCAGCAGTTTAGCAGTAATCACATGTCTGATCTTCCCACCTTTCATGCACCAATCCATATTTATTATCAATTAATTACACTCTAATTTTAATTAAGTCTTTCCATATATTTTAATTAATTGCTAATTACTCCCTCCGTCCCAATTTAAATGTCGTTTTGGGTTGTTTTGCACATATTAAGAAAATCAATAAATGTGCATAGATTATAGTAAAAAAACATATAAAATTATAAAGATATCCTTGACATTAATTGATTCTCAACTAATTAATTAGGAGTGATTAAGGGTAAAATTGAAAATAATGCAATTAATGTTTCATTGAAAATCTAAAATGACAAATAATTTGGGACAAAAAAAACTCTCTAAAAAGACATATAATATGGGACAGAGGGAGTAATATATATATATATATATATATATATATATATATATATATATATATATATATATATATATATATAAAGAGAGAGAGAGAGAGAGAGAGAGAGAGAGAGAGAGAGACACAACTACTACAATGACAAGAACACGCGACACTAACGAAGTGGTGATTGAAGTCGAAGGCCATTTCAAGATTA